GAAGGAGCTGGTGCTTCACTGACTTCTCCTCTTGCAGTGCTGCTGCGAGCTCTGAACCTCCTCCTGTGCTCTTCCAGCCTCTTCAGAGACACAGAACTCAGGTCCCTGTGGAGGGGATCCTCCCCCCTGCCCCCCTGTTTGTCTTGTGTGTCCTGGAGATGGATTCAGGAGCATCCTTACAGGTGTAATGGAATGGTAAAACATAAAGAATTCCGGCAGAGGTTGCAAACAGGAAAAAGCAGAAATCTCCACGTCCTCTCCCAGCAGAAGCCTGATTCCCATTGGGATGGGTTGTTATTTTATTTGCCTGCAATGAAACAAGTCACACAGCATTTATATCATGTCTTAAACCAGGATCCTCTTATTAGGAGTGGGATGAGTCTCACTCCCCACTTGCCACTTACCCGACTCCTCTGCCCACAGAAATCTGCCTGGAAGCACGTTAAGGAAGCAGGCAAGGAGAAAGTGTGCCCTGCAGCCAGGGACCAGGGGGAGTCCATGGAAATCTTTGCCTAATTGTTTTGTTTATGAAGCTCTGGGAAGGGTTTCCAGTGGGTTTCCTAATGAACTGGTTTGTTGTTGAGACGATGCCGGTAATTACGCTGCAAACGGGGGGTCAAGACTCATCTTCCTCCCCACAAGCTTTCAACTACCAACCATTAAACACACAAACTCTGCAGCTGAGGTTTTTCCTTCTTCTCCTCGAAGTTTAACTCCTGATTTCCTTGCAGAATACCTGCCATTCATCTTTCAGGCTGAGTGGAAGGAAAAGGAAAGCGGAGCCCAAACTGGTTTGTTCCGTCCTATTGGATGAGTCCGAACTAGATCTCAACAACACACCTGGAATATGGTGACAAACTGGATTCCTGCTTCAGAATATTGTTCTGGGAGGACTCTGTGTTCCTCCCAAAAGCTGAAACTCTCTGTTTTTTCCTGGAAATGCATGGAGAAAAGCTTAGGAGCGTTGTCTGCCTTAGCAATGTGTGTTCCTGTAACACACAGTGAGAGTTTCTCAGCTGCCTTTTGAGCAGAACCATCTCTCCTTCCCAGGAACTTGCTTTTAGGCTTCATTGTTAGGAAAGGCTGATAGAAAAGCTTTAAGCAAAGGTTTTTCTCTGGCATTTAATAGCTGTAAGAACTTCAACTCTGAGCCTGGTGGGGTTCTTTCTATTTAAATTTCCATTAAGGCAAAAAAGACTCAGCTGTGTCTTATCAACTGATTTCATCTAAATAAGAAGGGTTTTTTTCCAGCAGAGCCAGAGGTGCCACTTCAAATATATAATTTTGGGGACTATGGAAAAGGCTTATTTTACATTGACTTTTTATATGTGATGAAAGTGCTGAGGTTCAGTTTAGTGTTAATAGCTGGGAATTGAGAGAAATATCCTTAAATAAATAATGCTGGTGGTTGAAGTTGAATTAGTGCATTTTTCCATATATCATTTAATTTTATTACTTCAAGGAGACGGTAGTTTTATGTGACTGTTATTTTATATAGTTTTTTATATTTTATTTGTGTTTTTTATGGTAGAGACTACTGCAAATAAGATAATGGTTGTGCATTCAACAGCCACAAATTTCCCACTATCAGTCTTGGAGTTAGAATTGATGGGACAGGTCTCCTGGTGTGGTCACACATTTTACCACAGGCTCCAAATTCGAGCAGCAGATAATAAAATAATAAGGAGAAGAAGAATGTTGGGTTTCTGGGTTGGAAAAGGGGCTTAATGGTGCATTTCCTTACAGTATTTTTCCATGGGCTTGGATTGCAAGTTGCCTTTGCATGTGCTTATGGTTAGCAAAGGCATTAACTCATGGAAAAGGAGAGGGGAGGTTGGGAAAAGCCTTCAGAAGATGAAGCAAGTCAAGTTCCTGCAGATTTGGTGGCTGTGGAAAACCTTGTCTTGTTGCTCTTGTTCCCCTGTAACCAAAGCCAAAAAGCCAACTCGAAAACCGGGTTGATTTTTAGTTTGGATGTTTTTTTTTTCCACTCCCATTTTCAGGACTTGCAGCTGCTCCTTGGAGATGCCAGCTCTGAATATTCTGTTGTTCACTGTGTTGTTTGAGCTGTGGCTCTGCCAGCCCTGCTGCTCCCAAGGAGCCTGGAGTGGGGGTCTGGCTGCCAGCTGGAGAAGGACGGAGAAGGGACGGGATGAGACTTGATTAGATCCCAGAGTTCCTTGAATTTCTCATTTGGACATGGAAGGTGGATCCCTCATGTGGCCATTTAGGGCTGTGCTTTGGGTGATCCAAGTCACCCTGAAATCCTTCCCAGGGCTGCTGGTCCGTGGGAATTCTGTGAATTCCCAAACTGGGGCTTTGGGGTTTGCTTTTGGCTCACGTGAAGAAAACAAGGTTTTGTGTCTCTCCCTAACGATGGTGTTTAAGTGTAGACATGTTCAATTTTATTCTTTTTTCTCCTATAAAGTTTAATCATAGTGGGATATAAAAGTGTTCAAGTTTGAGGGAATATGGAGGGACTTGTTCTGCAGAAATTAGGATAGGGATAGACAGAGATGGGGGGTGGAGACATAAAATCTCTTAGGAAATACGTGTGTTTATGACCACAGTTAAATACTTGGAAAGAAATCTAACTCTGTGTATGTGGAAGGGGGAAGGCAATATGTGGAATTGGATGTCATTGCCAGGAAACACAACCTTGCCCTTTTTGTCCTGCTCTAATGGATTGGGGCAGGGAATTAATGGCAAAGGCAATTTCTTGCCCTTCTCTACCCACAGTCTCCTCCTGATCCCCCCATTGTCCCTCTGCCACCCCTCACACCCACGTGCACATTCCCTTTTCCAGCTGTATTGGAAGCATCTGCTCTACCAAGCAGCATTTCACTGCTGTCTGAGGGGAGGGGATGGAAAAATCTCCTGCCCATGATGGGAACATGGATATGACACAACTGCAGCAGCTGAGGAAATAAAACCGTGCGGGCCGGAAGAAGCCCCAGAGGAAAGAGGCTTTGTAAATTATTCATGCCTGCTGGTGTGAAAGCAATAGAATTAAATTAAAATTGAAGTATAAACATACATCATGGTAGATTTGTGTAAAGAAAGGAATTCAGCTACTGCAGAGGCTGCTGGGGGGGTGGGACGTGGCAGATGCAGCCCACGGAGTCAGCGCTCCGAGAGCTCGGGTGTGGGCTCTCCCTAATCCTTGTGTACACTTTTTGGGAGACTCTTAAGCTGCTGGTGGTTGGAAACTGCTCTGGAGACCTTTAGACCCCTGTGCCTTGGGATTTGCTGGGTTGGATTTGAAGGCATGACACGTGTGAGGACCTGTTGGTTCTGGGTCAGCGTCACAACATGGACCTGTGTTCCCCTTTTAAGCCGTTTTTCATCCTCTGTGGAGGCTGAGGAGGTCAATCCCCAGAGCTCATTGCTGCTGTGTGCTGGGGTTGCTCCTCTGTGTTCCTCTTTGTAGCCCTGCACAGGTGCTTTTAAAATTTCTGAAGGAAAAATGAACTGAAAATCTGCTCAATCCAAATCCCTTAAGCCAGGATTGATGGAGGTGCCGCTGGGAAGCTCCTGCCTGGGCTGGAATTTGAAGCACGGGTGCCATCTGTGTTTTCCTGCCATGCTTTGGCCAAATTGCATTTCCAGCCTTTCTGTCCTGCACTATTTTTCATGAAATGAATGGAATTTTCCTGAAAATTCCTGTCCATAAATACTCCTTCCCACTTGGGTTACCGGAGCAGCAAAAGCAGCCAGAGGTCCTTGCAAAATGGAAAACAGGAGTTGGGAGGAAGTGGGATAGTGGAGGACTGTCCAGAAAGGCTCTTTTCTCTCTCTGTCAGTGGCTTCTTAACTACAGCCATAAATCTTTTAATAAAGGTGGTGAAAAGTGAAGGAAGAAAGGGAGAAACAGGTTTAATTTCAGGCATTTCTGTGAAGAGAATGGGTAGAATTGTTTTGAAAAGGTGTGAAGGAAGGGTGAAAAAACCCCCAAACCTGTCCTACAAAGTGGCTCTAATTACCTCAACCTCAAAGTTGAAACTCAATTTGGTGCAAGTTCACACCCTGCCAAGCTTTGCACCTTAGAGCAGGACTAAAAAGGGGCTCAGCTGCTCACAAAAGCAGAGCTGTGGTTGCAGCCCCCAGAGCCACGAGGGCATTGAGGGCTTCCTGTGTCCTTTCCCATCCTCTACCTTCCTTTGATTAAGTTTATAAAGACTAAATGCCCATTCACACTGAGATTGGTGTCCAGGGTGAGAATCCCCTGGGCTTCATCACAGCAAATGGATATATCCAAGGAAAACCACCTGGGAGTAGCTTTATGTGGGCTTGTGCAATGGCAAGGGTGCAGTTCCAGGTTAGTTTTAATGAGCATAGGCCAGCTGAGATGAATAATGCCCATTTTCTCCCACTGCCCACATGCTTTAGGTGCAGGTTGGACTTCTTGTTGTAGCTTTATTTCTCAGCTCTTGCACAGGATTGATGTGCCATGTCATGATGTGTCATTATGAAGTTTAACTGCCCTGTTCTCCAGGTTAGTCTTTTGTTCCTCTAAGGCTTTTTTTCCCCCAGTTATGAAGTGATATCAATAATATCTTTTCAGCCAGAGACAGGCTAATGGAGGGGACGTGGGTGCCAGGTCAGACTCTGGCCTGGCCTGGATCTGACAAAGTAATTGCTGTCTAATGACTGCAGGACAGTGGATGAGCAGAGTGTCAGCCACCAGAAAGCCTGTTGGTGGCTCTAGAGGGAGGACAAAATGCTTGGAAAAAGAGTCTTCAACTCCCCTTGGAGAGTGTGGCAGCTTTGCTGCCTCTGCTTTGCCAAGAGCAGGTGGAGTCGATGCTTTCCATGGAGCTGGAACACCCACACCCCCATCAAAGTGATTCCCGACATCGACCCTTCCCAATAACCCTCTGCAGGCCTTACAGCCAACACTGGGGAGGGTTAATTTACCTCTGGAGAAAGGGAAAATTTGGCTGGTGAGGTGAGAGAAGTCCCTCAGAGTGACGTGTCCTGTGTTGGGGGGTCTCTTGCAGTGCACGTGCCGCAAGGACATGGTGAAGATCTCCATGGATGTGTTTGTGAGGGTCCTGCAGCCAGAACGATATGATTTATGGAAACAAGGCAAAGACATTGCTGTCCTGGACCACATGAAACCCACAGCTCTGACCAGCCCAGAACTGGATGCCTGGAATGAGACAAAGGCAGAGCTGAAGGCAAAATTGCTCCGCAGGTAAAGAGAAAACAGTCGTCGTGTCTGAGCCCTTTGATTCTAATTGCTAAGATTTTAAATGCCATAATTCTTAGTTTGAGATAGTTCAAACTCTTTATTTTTTTCCTCCCTTTGTTCTCTTTATACAATACCTCTTGTAATTTGTCGTGGGTAATGTGTCCCTCATTGTTCTCTTCCCTTTAAATGTTATAAAAGCACATATTCTCCAAACTAGGACACCGGGTGCCCCCTCACATCTCATCTTCTCCTGGAAGAAAAAAAATCTATGGTAAACATTTAGAGCTTCACTTATCAGAAGGCAGGAAGGGAAAAAAAAAAAAAAAAGCCCCATTGGTTGCAAAAGGGATTTTATGCATGCCTTTCTGTGCTTCCTTTGATCTGTCTTAATTTTCTCCAAGTCTGTGGGTTTTGTGTGTTAACAGCATGCTTGGAGTGGAAAATTTGGCATGCTAACCTTTTCCTGTTGGAATCTTGCTTTTATAGGATAGGAGATGAGGAAGAGGACAACAAACACCGGTAGGTGACTTCCCTCATCACCTTCAATCACTTCATTCTTTCTCCTGTCAAGTTTTTCTTAAAATAGTAACTCTTGGAGGTGTTTGCCTTTTTTTCACTGAGTTTTTTCACACCACCTTCTTTGAAAGCCCCCAGGAAATCTCTGGGCATCGAGGTTTCTCTTGGTTTGGTGTAGTTTTCTGTGACCTCTTGTGTCATTGGAGACCCTCGACTGTCTCGTGCCTGCTCTGGTTTTCATTCTGGAGTTAATCTGCTGAACTAGCAGGGGGGTGTGATGATAACTGGTTGTGGATGAGGGCAACTCATAAAAGCATAAAAATGCTGCTGCTGACTCAGAGTAGAATTGAACTGGAGGGGTTTGAACATTGGCTGGTGGTGGGAGAACTTCCCTTCCTCCTCAAGCTTACTTGAAGAATGAGATTCTGTATTTTCAGGTATTGAGGTAAAGTGTGTGCCCTTCCATATGCTCCCATATCCTACTTTTTTACATCTTTCTCATCCCACTTGCAGTGCAGCACATGGTTTCTTTCTGCTCTCATCTAGCATTTGTTGAATTCCTGGTTGAGAGCATTGGCAGGCTCTGGAAATTGTGTTGCTTCATCCACTTGGAATATTCTGCTGGTAATTTCAGTTCCAGTATCACTGCTTGGAAATCCAGGGGGAAAAAAGTGTTAAATAAGTTCCTGGGGCCATCTTTGATGTGGACTCTGAGTAACAATTTAAAAACCTAATAACTGGACGATAGCTGATGTATCTAGGCATTTTATCAGAGAAAGAGACACTTTTAGTGGTGTGTTATCTTTCTTTCTCCATCACTGCTGTTCATCTTCCAGAAGTTTCAGTCACCCAGTGAGCCCTGGACTGGGGCTCCTGTGACTTGTGTTCCCTACATGAAGTATTTTGTCCAGTATTATTTTACAAATGCTGCAATGGAAAGGTGTGTTCCCCACTGAATCCATGCTCCCAAAGACACAATAAATATGGCATTTGGCAGATGTCTGACCTCTGCAATATTGCTCTGCCCCACAGGTTATATTCCTAAGATGTTTGCAGCTATTCCTTCTATAATGAGCTTCAGGAAAAGCAGTGCAATCTCAGTCAGAAAGTTGCCATTTGTGCTCTCTGGGCAATGACTGAACTCCAGTGGGTCCCTGGAGCTTTTCCTTCCTCATCTGGAAATTGGGAATCTCTTTGCTGCCTGTCACTGTTAAGGGTTACTTATATATATAAATATTTGCACAGTGTAAGGTACTGTATGAACACCAAGGATTATTTTCCCTCAGCAGAGAAGCCTCTCTTCAACCTGAGCCTATTGCAAAAGATCCAGGTACATTTTTTCCTTATCTCTTCAGTGTTGCCTGGATTATTTCAGTATTATCCTGAAGCAGTTTTGAAGCTGTTCAATACTCCTTAGCAGTACTTTCTCTCCTGTGCTTATGTCTTTCCAAGACATCATTTTACTTGAAGCCTGATTTTTCTCAGCAGGATGGAGGGAAGGGATTCACCTCTGCCCAAACCTCTTCACAGTTGTAGCTACTTAATTTAAGTCACTTTGTGGTCTGTTCTTCAAAGAGTACAAATGCTGCTTTTTTGTCAGCTCTCCTGGAAAATTGAGCTTTTAAACTCTGCAGAGATGTGTTATTTCTTCTCTAAGGTCAGTCAGACTTAGTTACCTTGAAAAACTCAACTTTGTTTACTTTGTGGCTTCAGCAAGAGACTGTTTTTAGTCCAGTCCAGTCCCCAACAGCCCATTTCTGGTGTGTGAATTCTGGCAGACCCAGAACAGCTTCACCTGGGAAGCTGCTCAGCCTTCAGCCTGCAGTTCTGGAAGCAGTTTCTTTAAATGTAGAGCTTCCTGCCTCTCTTCCCCACAACTCCAGAGTGAGAAGAGCACTGCCAGAAGATCTTTTTTTTTTCTTTTTTAGCTCCTGTGAGTATTTTATGTCCTGTGAGTATAAAGCTTTGTGCTGTCATTTTTGCCTGGCATTTCCACCCCACAGGACTAAAACACCCTTTCCTAAAACCACCCTTTGACACCACTCTGATGCTTTCTGCAGCTACAAAAAAAGTTCCAGCTGCAATGACAGAGTCTCACAGCTTTATTTTCTCCTCCCACCTGACTTTCCTCCCCCTCCAGGGAAGGTGATGTGGACTTGGAATATGGGTGAAGAGCAAAGCTGATCCTTTTGGGTTCAGCTCTGTGTTCCTGCTAATGACTGTCTTGCAGGTGTGAAGGCAACATCTATACTTGGAGAGCCACCATATGCTCAGAGTCTGGCAATTAGAAATCTCTGTGCATATGGATCAACCTGCTTTTCTATTCATCTTCCATCTCAGGTGGAAGTTTTTTTTCTCCCTCCTTTGGCAGTTACCTGATTAAGGGCCCTTAATTCTGTTGTGCTGCAAATCTAATTAGCAGCTGAATTTCTGGGCTCCGAGGATGGGAAGCTGAATTTCAGCTTTTCTACATTTTTAGGCAGTGGTTGTGTTTGACTGTTTGTCACACACACCCCCCGAAAAAGTGTCTCCGTGCTAAAAATGGGGTAAAAATGACAAGTTTCTGGATCAGCCTCTTTTGAAAAGAGAGCATGTTAGACTTAAACCCAAAATTCAAGGAGCTATTGGATGGGTTCTGTAAAAACATTGGTCTGGGACTGGCTGGGATGGAGTTGCTGGGAATTGTGGCTGCACCACTGCTCAGAAGGCTCTGATGGTTTTGGTTTCACTGGCACAGTGTCAAGGCTTTATTTCCTCCCCCTCTGTGGGGTGGGTGAGAGATGGGGAGGGGACCCAGCTGGGACAGCTGGCCCAGAGTGGCCAAAGGGAGCTCCTGTGCCATAAAACGTGATGGGGAGCAATAAAAACTGGGGGAGAGAGGAAGAAGGAGGGGTTTGGCTTCTGGGGTGGGGGTTGTTTGGAGCCTGGCTGGGCACTGCTCTGCCTGGGGGACACGGTGAGTGCATTTCCTGGGCTTATTTCTTTCTCTTTTCATCCTTCCCTCTTTCCTTCACCTGCATTTGTCTTGACTTACAAGTTTTCTGGCTCTTTTTCTTCCTGTTTTCCCTCCCTGACCCTCTTGAGCAGTGGGGAGGGAGTGTCTGGGTGGGTGCTTGGCTTCCTTCTGTTCCCAACCAAAAAAAAATATCATCCTGACTTCTGAATTTGCATTTTTCTTTGCATTGTGGCTGCTGTAATCTCTTTTTCTTAGTGGCATTGACTTTAAAAAGAATGAACAGCACTGCTATTGGCTCATTAGTATTAGTCTGATCATATTAATATACCTATTTTTTAGTTAGATTTCTTCAAGGCCTTGGACCTTGTGAATTATACCACTGAATAATCATAGTCTGCCTATTGATTTTGCTCTGAACATTCATTATAGTGTGTTTTTTAGGAACTGGCAGTGCTGGGTAATGTCTCAGAGCTGGGAGATGATGCTTTGCAGACTTCCAGCAGTTTGCCAAAGGGAAGCACGGCCAGAATGAACTGAAATAATGGAATGGAGGCAGAGGATGAAAGAGAGATTTAAACAAGTTTTCATCTGTATTTTGAAATACAAGCAAAATAGATTTAAAACCACAATTAAAATCACTTTGACTGCAGCTTGTGAGCTTACATTAGTGATGGTGGGAAAAAGCTCTTCAGGAAACCCAGACAATTAATGGCTGCAAGAATGGATCTTAAATGTTGTGTTATGCAAGGTTCATCTGCTCCCTTTCAGATATCTCCTTTGCCCTGTAGCTATTTTAACTACCTTGTGTTTTCACTCCAAAGAAGATCCTTTTGTTTTGGATTCAGCTTTTTTAAGTCAGTGATGGTTTTCTGTATTGAAGGCTGTGCTTTCATGTCAAATCCCACTTTTGTACTTCCAGGTCTCACAGAAAAAGGAGTCAGCACAGGAGACACAAAACAGAGGATCAGAAGTCTCTGGGGGATGTCATGGCCATTGAAAGTGCCCTGGAAGACGTGAAAGTAAAAGAGGAGCTGAAAAGAGGGACAGACCTGGAGGAAGAGGAGAGAAGCAAAGGGATTGAGGGAGAAGGTGAGGGCCCTGCTCACTGGTGGTAGTGAAGAGTTGGGGCAAGTTATCTCTCTAAAAACACCTCTGTAAATAACTTTTGTGCTGCTGTTTATTTCTGTTGAAATATCAGCAGAGTTTTTCCCAGGATTAAATCCGTGCTCCCTGCAATACACCATCACTCACAGCAGCAGCTGATTTTTCCCTCTCTTTAAGGATTCAGTCCCAATAGCTTTCTTGGTAAGGTTTGAAAATATGAGAGGTTTGTAAAAATATATATTATGGGAGGAATATTTTAAAAAAATATTTCGTAGGGAAACAAATAAAATATATTTTTGTGTCCTTCTTGTGGAGAGGATTGATTTGTGCACTGCCTTGTGCAATTCATCTTTCCTCTTTCCCTCCCTTTATTCCCATTTCTCACAGGCTGAATCCAGGGAGCTTTAGGTTGGGAGGGATCCTCAGCTGCTGACACGAGTCCCACTTGGATTTCTTCAAGTCCAGCTGGAGCAGGGAAGCTTTTCAGCTTTCTTTGCCTGGCTGAAATTAAAACCAGTCCATGACAGCTCCCAAGCCTTTGGGATTTCTCCTGCACATGGTTGTTCCCAAGGCCTGAACTCACCCATGGAGCAGGAGGCTCTTTCTGTGACACCTTTTTTCTTGGCTGTGTAGCAAAAGTTGCAATTTTTGCTGGGAAAAAGCTGTTTTTCCCCCCCTAACGTGTGTGGTTAAGTGGTTGCTGTGTCTGATCCACTCCCTCCTTGAGGCTTCTCCGAGAAGTGAATTAATTTTAATCTATTGTGTACATTCCATTATTTGTTTAGCACTTGGAGAAACTGATGCTGCAAAGTGTTTAGAGGACCTTGATAATGATCTTAAAGGAAATCTATGGAAGCTCTGGGAAGAGAATCGAGGGCTTTGTTCAGTTCCAGAGCCTCTTAACTAGACAGTGTATTTTCTCTTTTCAGGGGAAATCAGGGGTTGGAGAATCATTGTTGCACAGAGCAGCAGCACAGTGCAGACACTTAATTTCTATTGCCCTGAGCCTGGAAGCAGCAGCAGTGTGTTAAATTGTCTGCTCTGAGCTCTTGTACAAGTTTAACACTTGATGCTTGGAATAAATGGCCCGAAAATGCTGATTTTTCTTCGGAGACAAGAGATAAGTGACAGGGACAGATCTGAGATCATTAGAATGGCCAAGGAACAATAAAAACTCTGTTCTAGCTGAATAGGTTCCAAATCATACACTTCCACTACATCTTAAGAGCTCTTTAACTCTTAGCTCAGGAGGGAAAAGCTGATTTTCAGCACCATTGCAGCAAGTGCCACTGGAACAGGCTTGGTGTGGCTGTTAGCAAATAAAAAGCTTTCTCACTGCAATATAGCAATTAAATCCCAATGGCTTCTCTAGTTTTCCACATCCTGCTGCCTCTCACAAGTGTCTTAGGGTTTCATCTTGAAAAAAGAAAAGAGCATCTGCTTGGATGGTCCTGCTCGTGGCAATTCAGCTCCCCCCCACCTCCTTCCCTTCCTTTCTTTATTCTCTAGTTTTAATTTGGCTTGATTTTCTGTTTACACCAGGAGAGATGACCTTGAGAAAGGAGGAAGAAGGAGATTTCAGAGTAATCAGGGTTTCAAAGTACATCTTGTGCTTCGTGCTGGTTATTTGGACAAGCTGAGTATTTATAACTCGAGGTTTTCAGGATTTCTGACCCAGATCCCTTAACAGTGCTTTGTTTTGGTTTTTGTGACTCAGCTTTACATTCATAATTTATTATGTTGCTATTAATATATTCAGAACTCTTAGCAGGTTGTCTTGGGACACGAGAAAGGAGAGTCTTTAGTCTCTGCTGTTCTCCTGGGGTGCTGAGCAGCAGAAATCTCTCCTGTGAGTCAGCAGGTGTTGCCTGTGGTGCTGTGCCTGGTAAGAGTCCTGCAGACTGGGCTACAAACCTTCCCTCTGGTGCTGAAATCCATTTCTAACTGTCTCTGCCCCATCCCAGGAGATGTTGCTGCAATGGAGGAATTCCAGGCTCCTGTAGCATCTTTTTATAATCCCATTGCACAAAGCTGTGGTGTGGGGTCCTATGGAAGGGGTTTGATTTCCTCACCAAAACCCCTTCCCCTCACAGATATCACAGAATCCCTGGATCTTTGAGGTTGGAAAAGACCTCCAAGGTCATCGAGTCCAACCTTTGATCCCACCTTGTCCCCCAGCCCAGAGCACTCAGTGCCACATCCAGGCCTTCCTTGGACACCTCCAGGGCTGGGGACTCCAAACCTCCCTGGGCAGCCCCTGCCAATGCCTGAGCACCCTTTCCATGGAGAAATTCCTCCTGCTGTCCAACCTGCCCCTCCCCTGGCACAGCTTGAGGCTGTTTCCTCTTGTCCTGTCCCTTGTTCCCTGGGAGCAGAGCCCGACCCCTCTGGCTCCAACCTCTTTCCAGGGAGCTGCAGAGCCAGAAGGTCCCCCCTGATCCCCCTTTTCTCCAGGCTGAGCCCCCCCTGCTCCCTCAGCTGCTCCTCAGTTTTCCTGAGCTCTGTCCAGCATTTCCCATTATCCCTGGACACTTCTCCCCATGACTCCACATTGTCACACGTGTTTTCCAGCTCTGCTCCACGAGGAAGGACAGCAAAGACCTTCCTCTGTTAACCTACAATGGATTTGTGCAGATTCCTTTCCTTCCTAGAACTGTTCAGGACAGCCAAGACAGGCACTTGGAATTTAACCTCCCTTTCCCCTGGCTTCTGATTCTATAGATTCACTTGCAAACTCGTTTGTTCATCTTAATGCAAAGACTTTTAAGCCCAGTTCTATGTGCCAGCTGCTGTCAAATTACCCTTTAGAAGTCAATAAAGCTGGTGAATGGCATTTGTGGTGTTGTTGGGGAGAGAATTCTCAGAGTGTATAGAGAGTAAATATGATCTGGTTTTGTGCAACTGGGGAGAAATCCAATTTGCCTTTCATTCACTGGGTTTGTTTCTCTAAGGAAATTCAATATTCCTTTCTCTGTGATAGAACAAACCAGTTTATCTGAGGGACTGCCTACACAAGCACAGCTATAATTATTTGGGCTGGACTTGTTCCCATGTTTATAAGTTAGTGTAAATAAAGTCATCCCAGAGCAGACTTCTGGGAAATGCTGAGGCTGAGGTATTCCCTGGAAGATTTCAGCAGGGATATTGGCACTTTATCTCATTGTTGGGTTGTTCACCCTTCCTCCTGCAGACACCTTGTTTTTGTGTGATGGTTTATGTGGTTTTCCATTTACTGGGTTTGACTGGTCAGGTTTGGGGGAGTAGTGGAAGGGTCTGAGTAGGTTGGGGTTGGTGAAACATCATTATTGGGGTGTCACCAGCTCTTCCTCCCATCCTGTTATGGGAAATGACCTTTTGTCACAGCATCTGGAGGTGGAAACCAATCTCCTCTGGAATCAGTGGAGCCCTGTCCTCTGCCTGTGAGCATCTGGTTTCCCTGCCTTTGGGGGAACTGGTGACTCCATCCCTGGAGTGAGGGAGGAGCTGGGCAGTGGGAACACACATCATGGCAGAGGGAAGAGGGGAAGGCAGCTCCTCTCCTAACCCGAGACACTCCCTCAGTGGCCAGCAGGAGTTTTAACCACTGCTGGAAGATCAGTGTGTGGTTCCCATAACAGAGTTCCATTGGGAAGAGAGGTGGGGAGACTTTTATGGGCCGTTTATGATGATATTGGGATGTTTATCTGTTCCAGAAGTGTTGTCAGAGCCATGTGAGAGACCTGTACAGATCAAATGAGTGACAGTGAGCTGGGAGAAACAGGGACAGTGTAAAGGATGTCTCAGTATCCAGTGCTGGTGTGGGGTCTGTAACAGGTTTAGCTCAGTGCTCTGCCTGATTTTTGCTTTAAAGGCATCTTTTAAAAAGACTTTACAGCAGAAATCTCCTGGTAATAATGATTCAGGTGTCTTTGTTCAATTCTTCATTTCCTGGGGCTGTTGAGCACGTTGACACACACTATTACCCAGATAAGAGCTGGGCTTGCAAATAAAGGGAGGACCAGAGGTTTAGCACAATATGATACAGAATGGGGGCCTCCAAACTTTTTTGATTGCACCTCCTTATCAGCAAAAAAAAAAAATTGAGCACACTTCCTGATGTATGTCTTTATTTATATACTTACTTCTTTATATATAGCACAGAAATACCCAGGTACACTTGTATTTCTGTGCTGGTATGTCTGTTATAGACATAGAGAAAAGCAGAGATTTAAAAAAGGAAGACCTAAAGATAAAATAAACCCTACTCTAGAGATATATTTTATTTTGTTAACAGTACAAAAATATTTCCTTCCTGCACCCCAGTGGATGGTTTTGTGCCCCCAACTTTGGAGGCTGCTGATACAAAATACTTGAAATACAGAGTCAGGGCTAATGTAATAAATGACATGAGTTTTGGCACACTGTCCAGTTTCTTAGGGATTTAGATATTTTTCCCTCCAGGAAACATTCATTTTGGCAGCCTTTCTGCTCCAGTCAAGAATTTAATAGTCCATAGAAATGACACAAGTCTTTTCTTTGTAGCATGGGCTTCTCTAGGGCAGTGCTGAGGCACAGCTGGATGTCTGCAGCTCTCAGGGGGCCTGTTTGGGAGGAATAATCCCTGATGGAGCATGTTAGAGGAATAATGCCAGGGTGGGACATGATACAGGAATAATGCCAGGGTGGGACATGATAGAGGAATAATGCCAGGATGGGATAAGAGCAATAATGCCATAGTGGGACATGTTAAAACAATAATGCCATGGTGGGACATGTTAGAGCAATAATGTGAGGATTGTACATGTTAGAGCAATAATTGCAGGATGGGATATGTTAGAGGAATAAAGCCATGATGGGAAATGTTAGAGGAATAAAGCCATGATGGAACATGTTAGAGGAGTAATGCCATGATGGGATAAGAGCAATAATGCCATGGTGGGACATGTTAGAGCAATAATTGCAGGATGAGATATGTTAGAGGAATAATGCCATGATGGGATATATTAGAGGAATAAAGCCATGATGGGACAGGTTAGAGGAATAATCCATGATGGAGTATGTTAGAGGAATAATGCCAGGATGAGACATGTTAGAGCAATAATTGCAGGATGGGATATATTAGAAGAATAAAGCCATGATGGGACAGGTTAGAGGAGTAATGCCATGATGGGATATATTAGAGCAATAATGCTATGGTGGGACATGTTAGAGCAATAATGCCGTGATGGGATATGTTAGAGGAATAAAGCCATGATGGAACATGTTAGAGGATAATGCCATGATGGGATATGTTAGAGGAGTAAAGCCATGCTAGGACATGTTAGAGCAATAAATATGTTAGAGGAATAAAGCCATGCTAGGACATGTTAGAGCAGTAATGCCATGATGGATATATTAGAGGAATAAAGCCATGATGGGACAGGTTAGAGGAGTAATGCCATGATGGAGCATGTTAGAGGAATAATGCCAGGATGGGATATGTTAGAGGAATAATGCCAGGATGGGATATGTTAGAGGAATAATTGCAGGATGGGATATGTTAGAGGAATAAAGCCAGGATGGAATATGTTAAAGGAGTAATGCCATGATGGGATATATAAGAGGAATAATGCCATGATGGGACAGGTTAGAGCAGTAATGCCATGATGGAGCATGTTGGAACAATAATGATGGGACATGTTAGAGCAATAGTGCCACGGTGGGATAGGTTAGCCCAGCACTGGAGCTCTTTGTTGAAAGGAGGGAAACAGTAAATATTGGCTCTTGGCCCAGGAGCTCACTGTTGCCTTGTTCTCTTGAAACAGGGGAGTGCAAAGTAAAGGCCCGTCCTCCCAAAGTGAAAGGCGAGAGGAAGAAGAAGCACCTTTTCCATCAACACCAGCACCACCTCCAAGCCCCTCAGCCCCCCGTGCAGCCCCCAGTGCCACCCCCAGCCCCGCAGCAGCAGCAGCTGGCAGAGGGCGAGGCGGTGGCAGCGCGGCCACCGGTGCCACCGGTGCCCCCGGCGCCGGCCACGGCGGAGAAGAACCTGCCCCCGGGTCCCCTGAACATCGTCCAGCCCTCGGAGGCGCCGGTGGAGGAGGAGGATTTCAAACCCAGGCCCATCATCCCCATGCTCTACGTGGTGCCCAGGACCAAGAAGGTGGTGTTCGACAAGGAGCGCATGTCCTGCCAGCAGGCCTTCGAGCAGTTCGCCACCCAGAAGAGCCTGGGCTGGAGGGAGCAGGCGGTGCCCCTGGAGATCCCTGGGAAGGAGGAGGAGAATGCAGAGCCAGCAACCCCAGAGGTCACTGCAGAGGTCAGTGATTGGCAGCTTTCCATGAGCAAGCACTGTAAGATCTGCTGGTTTGAAGCAGTAACTTGTTGTAATGAGAGGAGTCCACAGTTGTTGTCCCATCCCTGGAAGTGTCCAAGGCCAGGTTGGGTGGGGCACCCTGGTCTAGTGAAAGGTCTCTCTGCTCTTCCTGAAGGATCTCCAAGGACCTTCAAGGCCCTTCCCAACCCAACCCATTCTCTGATTCCATGATTGTTTCTGAGCCTCCAGTGGAACAGTGCCGTGCTGGGGAGCCACAGAGGGCTTTTACAGGGAGAGAGGGAATATTTTCTCACAGTTCAGTCTGTGGTTCAGTTCAGGATGGGGAGCTCCTGGGATGAGGGCTTTTACAGGGAGAGAGGGAATATTTTCTCACAGTTCAGTCTGTGGTTCAGTTCAGGATGGGGAGCTCCTGGGATGAGGGTGAATGTACTTAGTGTTGACTGGGAAATGGGGCAGTGGGTCCAGTACAATGTAAATATGCTGGAATGTTCTAGGAAAATGTTTCTGGTCCTGTGTGCCCTGTACATGCACACCACAAGGGTATGTAGTGATAGAACAAAGGGTGAAGGTTTCCCACTGCCAGAGGGCAGAGTTGGATGGGTTATTGGGAAGGAATTCTTCCCTGTGAGGGTGGAGAGGCCCTGGAACAGATTATCCAGAGAAGGTGTAGCTGCCCCATCCCTGGAAGTGTCCAAGGCCAGGTTGGATGGGGCTTGGAGCAACCTGGGATAGCACAAGCTGTCCCTGCCCATGGCAGGGGGTGGGACTGGATGTGTTTTAAAGTCCCTTCCAACTCAACCCATTCCGGGATTTGATGATCCATAATTTTCATGGAGTTCCCAGCTGTGTATGTGATTGACCAGACTTTTCATTAGCAAATTGAACTGGCAGCTTGCAGATGTTCTGAGCCTGTTCTGACTTGAAGAAAACTCTGTAGTTTACCCAACTTCTGGAGAGTTAATGTTGGCTTTTATCAGCTACAGGAATTGGCTCAGAAAACTGAAGTGTTTCAGCCAAAAGGCATTGAAAAGTTTGCTGAGTGGATTTCAGAACCCTTTTTGACAAGAGTTCTGCCTCTCTTGTCCTGTTCCCTCCTTTGGGAGGCCCATCCAGCTTGTTCTGCTTCCTTCCAGACTGCTTCTGCTTTCTCCAAAATGAAGATGGAGATCAAAAAGAGTCGTCGTCACCCCCTGGGCAAACCCCCGACCCGCTCCCCGCTGTCCGTGGTCAAACAGGAGACCTCAAGTGATGAGGGTGAGTGAGCACCACCAGGAATGTTTGTCTTGCCTGATCCACAAAATTCCTCAAGCCATTCCCATAACTGGGTGCCCTGAAACTTTGTGTGTTCCACTTCACTGGTGGAAAACGCGGCGTGTTCCCGTTTTGATAACCCAGCTGGAAACAAAACTCCTCCGTGGGAGGTGTTCCCTTCTCACCTCCCACCCTTTTTTTTTTTTTCCTCTCAAGAAAAATATTTTGCTGGCTGCAAAGTGAGGCAGCATTTTGGGCAAAGGGAAAAGAGAGTTCACAGAAAATTGCATCTTAAAGGAAAAGCTCCGTGTCAGATATTGGAGTGGAATGAGATCTGTTCCCCTTGGAAGGCAGTGGAGGTCAGGCCTGCTCTTGTGTATGTGTGGAGAGTTAATTCTAACCTTTTAAAGGCTTTTAATTCATGTCAGTGTTGGGGCCCAACTTTTCTTGGCAGATGCAGAAATGAGAATTCAAGTCTGTCAGTGCTTAACTGCACATCACTGATCCTTCTTTTCCCACATTCCAGTCCCTGTGAATGCCCCAACAGTCTGGACCAAGGGGAAAAAAAAAGACTCCTACCTCTCACTCTGTTTTGTGGTGTAATTTCCCACTTTTGGGTCTTTCCCCATGACTATAGATGAGGCCACAGTAAATTCTGTGTGTTGGGGCAGGGCTGTGGGTGTAGCTGCCAGTCCTTAGTCACAGCTCCTCATTCCAAAGGACAACACCTTCCCTTTGGAGAACACATCCCTTGGTTTTAGAGAAGCTTCCTGCAGGAAGGGGTTATCCTGAACACACCTTTCCTCACCTTGGAGGATGCCTTGGATGTCTTGGGGTGTGTGAGGTGGAGTGAAGAGCTGAGGGGCAGCAGAGACTCGTTACCTTCTCTTGGTGTGAGACCTTGCAGCCAACTTTGTGCTGGAGGCTCCTCATTAGGCAGATTCTTCCCAGTGCCTTGACTTTTGTTGGATGGTGTTTGGGGACTTGGCTGCTGGAGCAGGAGCATTTCCTGGGGGCTGATTTACAGCCCTGCTGGGCACAGTCTGATCAAACAGATTCTTCCCTCCCCACCAGGGAATAGAAGCAGCTCTCTGCACTCCCTGCTTTTTCAGGGAATGATGTACCAGGATGATTTGAAGGCTGCAAGAGGAACAGTGAGCATGTAAATTAAGCACATGCTACACTAAGATTAAGTCCAGACAGATTGTTTGTCCCTCCTTACTTGCAGGGTAGGAGCTGTGTGTCCCCCAGGGTCCATCCTGGGAGGAGAGAAGGTGATAACACACAGCAGTCATTCCCTTTTTCTCTCCCTCTGTCACTCTGGATTAGGATGCTGCTTGCATTGATTTCACTGGTATCATAAATCCCTGCCTGTCACCTGATGTGCCTCAACTAAAATTTGGAGAAACATGAGGGTTTTGACTCATGTCTTAAAAAGAAAAGGCACTTTTTAGGAAGTAACCTTGTTTTGAAGTATGACAGAGCCACACAGACAGCATCCATCACCTCACAAAGAGGAGTGATTAATTAAACATAATCAAATTTCCACATTGTCTGGCAATTCTGTATTAGATTAGTCGAGGGGAACATTTAAAATCTGAGATGTGAACTCAGCTGTTAATGTTTTACTCCAAGTTCCTTTTATCCTTTCAGGTAACCTGAGAGTCAGAAAATCTTCAAAGGGAGGGAGAATTGGGGAGGAGACTTAAGACCTCTAGAGCAGAACATTAACTGCTTATTTCTAGTAATTAACAGTGAGGCAGTGAACAATTTGGTTTAATGTGCTGAGCTCTGGGGATAATGTTCTACCAAGATGTTTTTGACTTCCCTGTTCTCTTGGAAACTTTGCAGATTGGTGATGCAGGGACTGATTTACACTTAGGCTTGTGTGGAAAATTTCTTTAACGCTTACAGTGACTCAAATTTCCTTCCTTAAGGAAGGGTAAGAAACTTGGCCCCCCAAATGGATCCTGCAGTGGTTTAATCCTGAAAGGCCAAGGGCCTTTTAAAGGTTTATGAAAAGCAAGAATTAGCAAACTAATTAGCAGGAGCAGGACCTGGCAGGGCTCTGGCAGAGGGAGGGATGGTGGGGAGAGCAAAGGGAGGGTTTAGTGGTGTGTCCTCCCTGGAATGGCTGTGAAAGGAACACCTGAACCCAGGATATCCCAGAGCCAAGGTTTGTGTTGGTGGAACAGGCACAGGAGGCACCTTGGGAAGGTTGGAACACACTGAGTGGTGGGAATTGGGAACTGTCCTGACCAAACCAGCACCAACTGCATCCACATCTTCCAGACAATGCAGCTCCCACTTGGAGAGAGCAAAGGGACACATCATGTGTTTTGAACTTACTAAAGTTCAAATTAAAGCTTCATTAGGGTGGAATAGGTTTCCACAGCCAGAAAGCGGAGTTGTGAGGGCAGTAAATCCAGATTTTCTTCTTCCTCCTTCTCATGGCCAGTTCCATTAAGTCATCTCTGTCCCTCTCTTGTCCATCCTACCCATACAGTAGGAATTATATCCATTTAGGAAGTATTTAAGGCATATGAGGAACCATGGATGAATATTTTTATTTATTGCACTTGTATTGTTGAGAATGAGCTGTTTACTCAACCTTGCTGCCATTTCACCTGTTCTGTCTATAAACCTCTGCTGACTGTCCATTGTTTTGGGATTTTTTTTCTTTCATTCTAGAAACGTTTCCATTTTCTGGAGAGGAAGATATGAGCGATCCAGAGGCTTTGAAATCTTTACTTTCCTTCCAGTGGAAGAATAAAGCACTTAATTTCCCAGCTGAAAGAAAATTCAATGCAGCTGCTGCCCTGAGTGAGCCATACTGTGCTGTCTGCACCCTCTTCTACCCCTACAACCAGGTAATTCCTCACATGGGATCATTAAACTTGGAGAAGACCTCTAAGATTAAGTCCAGCTGTCAGTCCAGACCCAGCCCCACGTTCACCACTAAATCCAGTGCCATATTCCCATGTTTTTTGAATGCTTCCAGGGCTGCAGACTCCAGCCTGTTCCAATACCTGACCATGCTTCTCATAAAGAAATTTTTCCTAATATCTAATCTAAACCCCTGATACTGCTCAGATGGATGAATTAGGATGCAGACATTTATAATAAAGACAGACCCCTACAAATTTGCACCCCAAAGGAAAGTGTTTGGATTTGGCACAGCCTTTTTGGGGTTTTTTTGTGTTTGTTTTTTTTTTTCCTGGCTTCTCTGGCTTTCTCAGTGTTCATTTTTTAAAATCACACATTTAAAGAGCTTTGCAAACACTTGTTTCATGTGCAGAAAACTCTGCACATCAAGCTGGTGATTGCTGGTGTTTCAGCACAGGCCCAGACTGCTGAATATATGCAAACAAGCAACAAAATCAAGATTTACTGAGTAAGCACATCCATCATCTCTTTTGGAAACTACCAATATGCTCTGGGAGATGTTATGAGCAGAAAGGCAAAAATTCATCAGATGAATTAGTCATTTGCTCAGTTGTGTATTGATTTGTTCTCCCAGAAAGCCAGATTTGGCTTTGTGTGTCCACCAGGAATATGTGCCTTAGATTCCTTGGATATGTGTTGGGAGCTTTTTCTGAGAAGAAGCAGGACCCACCTCCCCCCCTCCCTTCAATAAAATCTCTTTGATTTATTATAGAGACTGAAAATAAAATATCTGTTCTGATTGCTGGATGTTGTTTGATGGTTCTGAGGAAAACTGGGTGCAGCTGGGCTGGTTTAATCCATTGCTTTTAACTCTGCCTGCTACCAGAAACCTTGAAATGTCCTTCAGGAGGAATTCCTGCAGGAAGAGTAGGGAAGGATGCCAGAGGGGTGGGAGAGGGGGAGGGAAGGTCTTGCTTTAAATAAGATTTTCCTTTTTATTTTTCCTCGGTGTTTTCAGCCACAATTTAAGAATTCAGACTTTTTACAGAGGAAAACCAGGAAAAGCTGCTCATTATTCTAAAGCTTCTTTGAGCTTTTCCAGCCAAATTACAGGTCCCAGGAGAGGCCTCAGGAAGGAGGAGCAAGGCAGGGATGGGCTGTGCCTGGGAACTGGGTTTTAAGGCTCAGATTTTGGCTGTCTGCTGGCAGGTGCTTGGTGGGTTTTTTGCAAGGGGAGTGCTCAACCTTGAAAGTTTAAATTGTGCCCAGGGAAGAGGTGATTCCATGTGCTGACATTTCCTCTCCAAGTCCTTACAGGTGGATAAGGAAGCTGTGCCGGTCTCCGGAGGGGAACCGTCCTCTTTCATCCACCTTTCCAAGTGTGGACAGAAGACCAAGCCCCTGATCCCAGAGATGTGCTTTACCTCAAGTGGGGAAAACACAGAGCCCCTTCCTTCAAATTCCTACATTGGAGAGGATGGAACCAGTCCCTTGATATCCTGTGCCAAATGCTGCCTGCAGGTCCATGCTAGTGAGTGTTCCCTCCTTCCCAAAGCCTTTGGGGCATTGGGAAACTCCTGAGTTTATTTGTGTGTTGCCTGTATTTGAGTTCCAGGGTTGCTACACCCGTCACTCCTATTTTTTTTCCTTTTCTGGTGCAAGTGTATCTTGGAATCACAGAATGGTTTGGGTTGGAAAGAACCTTAAAAATCATCCACTTCCAACCCCCTGCCACGGGCAGAAACACCTTCCACTAGAAGGAATATCTGTATATTCAAGTCCACCTTGGCAGTCACTGATCCTAAAAATTCACACCAATATTCTTTTTAGGGGTTGTTTTTTGGCTGATCCTTTTTCTGTCTCACAGAAAAGGTTCTTTCTTTCGATATCTTTCATTTTCTGTAATAAAGCAGAGCTCCCAAGGCTTATTGCACTGTTTCCTCTCAAATATTTCCTCCCAAAATTGCTCTGCTGGGTGAGGCTGTATTGTTCCTGCGTGCAGCAGAGATTATGGAGGAGCTGGAGAGACATTTTATTAGTGTCTGTGATACTGTTTGTAGTAATGGCACTTGATTACAAGAGGGAACATATGTCTGTTTGCTTCCCTGATAGTTATGTCTAAAAGGAGATCTGATTAATCCTGGTGGAGTGTGTACCTTCAGTGTGGATTGTACAACATCCAGTTAACATTTGGGCTCGTAGGAGATGTGACAAATTCCTGCTCAGCTGTTTGATCTCGACAGATGGGGAATCTTATTTGACTTGCATCAGCTGGAATTACTTTTGTTGTTCCAATTTTAGAGCCTGCAGGTCCCCATGCAGCTCAGCAGGGCTGGCTCTGGTGGAGAACTGGAAGGCAACTTTTATTTCTGTGCTGAATCCCTGATTATGGTCATTCCTGGCTAATAAGCACAGTGAGGATGTTCCTTCCTTCCCAAATTGTGGCCTCTGTAGCAATCAGAGATGCTGCATCTTGTCCATCCATATGGCTGCAATAGTCCAGCCTATCAAAATGGTTTCAGTGGCCAAATTCTATTTAGGGACAGAGGGATGTGGGCAAGATGATGTTAATCTGCACACTCAAGGTATAGAGAAAAGCAGCTTTTTATTTTGGCTGTGCTTTCCCCTTGAGGACAGGACAGACCTTAAATCTGCTGGAGTCTCCAGTGAATTCCTGTTTCCTTGTTTGTGCTCCGAGTCTGTGACGTGCCTTTGACTTTGCTGCAGAGGATCCATTTGCTTTTATTGCAGGATTGCAGTGTTGAGGGGTGTATTTTGGCTAATCTGTGCTGTAAAACCAGTTGGCAGCCTGAGTGTTCTTGAGAAGTGTCCTCCCAAACTGTGCTGGGTTACGGCAGCAGCCGGAACAGACGGAGAGGGAAGGTTTTGTGAAGGTTTCTGGGCTTTTGAGGCGTTGACAAAATCCATGAAAAGAGCATATTTTTCTTGGTCTGTTAGGATTGTCCTTATGGGACAGTCTGGGGCTCGGTAAATATGATTGTTCTCCCCTCATAGAATCATTAAAATTGGAAAAGACCTTTAAGATCATCAAGTCCCACAGTCACCCCCTCACCACCACCGGGTTCACCACGAAACCGTGTCCTCAAGTGCCACATCCACACGCTGTTTGAGCACCTCCAGGGATGGTGACTCCACCACTGCCCTGGGCAGCCTGTGCCAATGCTTCACAACCCTTTCCATAAAGAAATTTTTCCTAATTTTCAGTCTAAACCTCCCCTGGCACAGCTTGAGGTTGTTTCCTCTCATCCCGTTGCTTTTTATGTGGAAGAAGAGCCCGACCCCCCTCCTGGCTCCAACCTCCTGCCAGGGAGTTGTGGAGAGCAGTAAGGTCTCCCCTCAGTCTCCTTCTCCCAGATCCCATATTCCAGCTGCCTGTGGCCCTGGAGCAAGAAATCCATGCTGAAATCCCAGCCTGCTCCCCACCTCTGTGAGGTCCAGCACTATTCCAGCTCAGTGCCTGCTTCTGTCTCAGCTCAGTTTTTGGACTGAACACCCTGCCCGTGTTCTAGGACTGGGTGGAATCTGCTTTCCTGATTTGCCATATGATGAAAAGAGATCTCAGCTGTGGGGAACAGCTGCAGATCCATAGTATTGACTTTTTTTGACATGCTGTTTATCTGGCTAAGTGGATGATATTTATAAATCAGGTTATGGTGGCAATCCCAGTGCTTTCTGAATGGCTTTGTTTAAGTTTAATTCGGTAATTTGAGATTGTTGTTCCCAGCTGAAACTTTCTGTTCAGCTTTTCAGGATAGGTGAAGGCTGGATGGGGTTTTGGTAGGATAGGTAAAGGCTGGGTGGGATGAGCTGTGTGTTATTTGGGATGCTTGTATTTAATTTTCCACTTGCTTTACAAGCTTGCAGGAATCACATAGATCCACTTTTTAAAAACTATTTCTGTGTCTTTTCCCCATTGTTTTCAGTGACAAACCTCAGTGCCTTTTCCAGAATTTTAGGGTCTTTTTTGTTCTTATTTCTCTGTCTTTATTATGGCTTTAATGCCACTTTACTATTTTGGTGTTGCTGTAGGAGGATTTGGTACTTGCATGTTACAGTAGTTGATGCTCTGTAAAATCAGATGTTTCTAACACTTTATATAACCATAAATTAAGTACTGTTAAATATGTGAAATGCAGGTATATAATTTCCTTGCAGTATTATTGGGTTTGTCTTTCCTCAAAACACCATGTAGCAAAGAGAATTGCTTCAACCTTGCCAAAACTCAGTGGCCTTACCTGTTTTGCTGTGTGAGTGCCTTCCAGCAGTGATAGCATCACTTTGGAGCCCAGTTCCTGCCTGAAGGATCAAAGTCCTGTTATTGTAATCCTTAGAAAAGTAAAAAAAAAAAAAAAAAAGTTGAGAGTTTCCTATATGTGGATTTTTTGTTTATTTTTAGACCTGCTGGTCCCAAATTCTGCCCCCTCAGACTTTAGTCTGAGCCTGTTGAATATAATCATCCAGATGCTGCACCTGCTCTCAGAGATGCTTCTAACTGAAAAGTCAGCAAGTCAATAGCACAGATATGGTGGGAGGACTCTGACCTGATGAGGATATAACTGTTTTCTTTCAGGCTGTTATGGAATTCGTCCAGACCTGGTGAACGAGAGCTGGTCTTGCTCGCGGTGCTCAGCCAACGCGTGGGCAGCGGTAAGGACCTGCCCCTCTGCAGACCACACAATTCCCACGGGATACTCTGGGAGTCATAGAATCATAGAATCACAGAATCAGCTGGGTTGGAAGGGACCTCCGAGATCATCAATCCAACCCTTGATCCAACCCCGCTGTGGTTCCCAGCCCATGGCACTGATGCCACATCCAGTCTCAGCTTAAAAACCTCCAGGGATGGAGAATCCACCCCTTCCCTGGGCAGCCCATTCCAATGGCTGAGCACCCTCTCTGCAAAGAAATTCTTCCTAATATCCAACCTAACCCTCCCCTGGCACAGCTTCAGACCCAGCCCTCTTGTCTTGCTGATGGTTGCCTGGGAAAAGAGACCAACCCCCCCCTGGCTCCCCCCTCCTGTCAGGGAGTTGCAGAGAGTGAGGAGGTCTCCCCTGAGCCTCCTCTTCTCCAGGCTGAGCCCCCCCAGCTCCCTCAGCCTCTCCTCCCAGCACTTGTGCTCCAGTCCCTTCCCCAGCCTCGTTGCTCTCCTCTGGCCCTGCTCCAGCCCCTCCATGTCCTTCCTGAGCTGAGGGCCCAGAACTGGACACAGCACTCCAGGGGTGGCCTCACCAGCGCTGAGTCCAGGGCAAGAATCACTTCCTTGGACCTGTTGGCCACCCTGTTCCTGAGCCAGGCCAGGATCCATTGGCCTTCTTGTCCCCCTGGGGACACTCTGGCTCCTGTTCAGCTCCCTGTCCATCCCCACTCCCAGCTCCCTTCCTGCCTGGCTGCTCTCCAGCCCCTCTGTCCCAGCCTGGAGCTGCCGGGGGTTGTTGTGGCCAAAGGGCAGGACCCGGCACTTGGCCTGGTTGAACCTCATCCCCTTGGAATCAGCCCATGGATCCAACCTCTCCAGATCCCTCTGCAGAGCCCTCCTGCCTTCCAGCTGATGGACACTCCCCCCAGCTTAGTGTCATCTGCAAATTTGCTGATGATGGACTCAATCCCCTCATCTAAATCATCAATAAAGATATTAAATAGAACTGGGCCCAACACTGATCCCTGGGGACACCACTAGTGACCAGATCCCAACTGGATGCAGCCCCGTTCACCACCACTCTCTGGGCCCAGCCAGATACTTCTCCAGAGGTGGGTGGTGGGAGGGTTCAGTGTGCCTGGGACATCCCAGATGGGGTGCAGTCATTCCTGGGGAGAGATGGGCCGAGCTTTCCCGTCCGGTTCTGAAGGAGTTGTGTTCCTGCAGGAATGTTGCCTGTGCAATCTCAGGGGAGGAGCTCTTCAGATGACCACTGATGGGCGGTGAGTGTTGTATTTTGGGATATTTTCCTCCCACATGCCATCCAATCTCCTGCTGTTTTGAACTGGGTCTTAATGCTCAGTGTACCAATAAGGTTTGGTGCTCTGGAGGTGCCAGCTCTGCACTTGGCAGGACGAACCTGAGTGACTGTGCTGTCTTACACCACACCAGGTGCTCCATAGCAGAAGTTCTGAACACTTGTTGATCATGGTTGTTTCTCAGAGAAAAGTCTTCTCAGAGAATGTTTAGTATCCTGCAAAATCAGATGCACGAGCAGGTTGATCCCTGTTGTTGCAGAGACATTTACCTCGTGCGACCGTAATTAACAGTCGGTAACGTTGCCAAGGCTGCCAACCCATATAAATATGCCTTGATGCTGAGGGAGGCAGGGAAATGTTAACTGCCCTCCTGAGCATTTAATTCAACTAATGGCAGACTCTGATTTGTCTCTTTGCTTTGTTCCCCAGGTGGGTCCATGTAATCTGTGCTATTGCTGTCCCCGAGGCCCGTTTCCTCAATGTAATAGAGCGTCATCCTGTGGATATCAGCGCTATTCCAGAGCAGAGGTGGAAACTGGTGGGTGTCTCTTACCTGGGGAGAGTGTTTGGGAACAAGAGCCAAAGGAAAAAACTGTAACTAGACAGAAAAACGTTGTGTGGGTTCATAAAGTAGCTGAGGTTGGAGGTGATCTCGCTCTTATTTCCAAACAAAAGCCGTGGGAAGCTGCAGCATTTGATATCTGCTGAGCACTGTCTCAGTGCTTTGATACACGAACAGCTTGTGAGTTCCAGATGTGCCTTTACTCTCTTGGAATGTGCTCATACCCTGGGCAGAGCCCAGGACCCTTCCCCACCTGCAATCAGGTGTAAACTGCCTGAAAGCTTCATTTACTCCAAGTACTGCACAGTGGGACTGTGAAGGGATCTGGTGACTAGAGAGAAGCTGACTTGTTCATCTCTGAATTGATTCATCTTTCTTTACAATATTTCTCTTTTTCTATCAAGAAATCTCCTGTAGAAATGAATAAACATTTTGTGACCCTGACTGCAAGGCAAGACTGGGAAGATTTTAATACCAGTCCAGCTACAAGTTGTTATTCAGCTACGTGGCCTCATCCCAGGGATTAGTAATGGATGATTCACAGGCTCAGAGCAATTAATCTTAATGTTAGTTAATGCTCCATCACTACACTGTGTTATTGCAAAATAAATTGTGCTTTTGCTGCTTTTTTTGGTGCAGAAGTCAGCTGGGTGACACAGTGTGGGACAGGGAAGGTGCTGGAGCGGTGATACATGGGATAGTACTGATGGATTCCTTAGCAGAGCTGCTCTTTAGTGCAGGGAGCCCGAGTGAGGGATTAGGAAGGATCTATCCCTACCTCCAGAGTTATTTCTCTGTTGTGCAAATGGGTTTTGTACACAAATGTGGATGTAAAAAGCATTCATTATTCAGGAGGAGTGCTGGAGCAGAGCGATGCGAGGGCGATAAATCTTTGCCGCGGCGCTTCTTTATGGATCAGCTGACATTTCCAGCCTGCATCCTCTTCATTACCAGCACTTGTAACGCTGAACTTAAAATCCTTTTACACAAGACTCACTTGTGTTGCTTAATGGAGCCTCACAAGGAAACATGGCTTAATTCTTTAACCCTTCTTTGGCTGCCTTGCAGTCCTGCAGAGCCAGGGCACTGTCACCGTACGTCCAAATCTGTTGCTTCATTCTGCTCAAAAGTGTTGGCTTTGCCTCTGCAGGGACCTGCTGCACACCTTTCTCTTTCATTCCTGAATTAAAACTTTGTATTTTCGTGGAATCATAGAATATCCTGACTTGGAAGGGACTCACAAGGATCATCAAAGTCCAGCTCCTGTCTGCAAAGAATAACCCCGAGAATCCCACCCTGTGCCTGAGAGCATTGTCCAAACACTCCTTGAGCTCTGGAAAGGAATTTTGTTTGATTTCTTCACTGTTGTGTTCCATTTGCACCTCCTGTTTTCTTTCTGTCTCAGGGGAGGTAGAGAATGTTTGTATGAAGTACCTTGACTTACACAGTCCAATGTTGGGATTTACAGGCACATATTCCTTATGTTGATGTTAGCCAGAGCCTGGCTTGTAGCTCAAATGTCAAAGCCTGGCTTTAAGCCCTTCACTTGGAAAGTTTTAGGGTTATAAACTAGATTATAAAGATGGAACAATTAATTTGGAGGGCAGAATGTAGGGGCAGAGGTACTTCCAGCAGCAGCAGTGTGTGGGGGGGGTGTGAAGTACAAAGGAAATTTAAATTGGACACGATTGTGTGGAGAAACACACTCCTGAACCACAGTGGGGAATTCTAGGATTCTTTGTAGGAATTTGGAGCACGAGGAGTCAGTGGAGGAGCTGTGTCTATGTCTGTGCTTTGGAGGTGAGCAGCTGCATTCAGGAAGATAAACTGGGGGTGACCAAAAGGTGCTGGTGTTGGATCTGATGACTTTGGAATGATGGAGTTGATGCAGTCCTGGGTAAAATTGGAGAGGTGACCTTTGTGGCTGAAAAAGATGGAAAAGGACAGAAGGAATGATGTGAAGGTTGAGGACAGTTGAAGTGAATAGATGAAGGTAATGGAGGAAAGAGGGGGTAGGGTTTATCCCTGATTATTGTTTGATTTTTTTAATGTGTTTGTACTGTTTTAAGTTACTGTGAGAGGGCTGAGGAACCAAAGCATTGCAGTGATTAAGGGTACATCCTGTTCTTTAAGCTTGTACCAGGTCTCCCTGTTGAAGCAGGGACTTTTCAGTCCATTTGTGGGTATGGCATCATTTTCAGGAATGCAGTTTCCATGCTCCCTGATTGATGGCATATTACAGGCTCTTGCACGTAAATTATTTATGACGTGGAAATTTGGAATAATTAGCTGTCATTCCTCAGTGGAGTAAATGAATTGCAGTGTTCATCATGCAGGAGACAGCCCATTTCTTACTCTCAGCTGTGACCTGACTCTCTGGTGTGCATTTATTCCAAAGATTTCTCTCTTGTGTTTTCAGACCTTCTCTTTTCCCTCCCACAGAAAGCGGCTTTAAATCTCCATGTGCTGCTTTGCCACAGCTCTTGGCACTGGGGTTTCTGTCCATCCCATCTCCCACACATCCAGCTCTTCTGCATTTTCACAGAATCACAGAACACTTTAGATTGGAAGGCACCTTAAAACTCCTTTTATTCCACCCCCTGCCATGGGCAGGAACACCTTCCACTAGCCCAGGTTGCTCCAGCCTGGCCTTGGACCCTTCCAGGGATGGGGCAGCCACAGCTTCTCTGGGCAACCCCACCCTCCCAGGGAAGAGTTTTTACTTTTTCCATCATTCTCTACCCTTCAGGCTCACTGTAACTCACGTTTTTCTTCATTTTTGATCCTATTTGCACTGAACATCCCCCTCACTGTGGCAGCCCTTCCTCCTGTCACACAGAGTTTGTGTTGGCACGAGGGTGGCATTAGGTGTGTGCTAATCCTTTCCCTTGGAAAAATCCTGTTTGCATCAGCAAGGGCAGATTCCTGACCCAGGAGGGTTAACTCTCCCTTGAGCCCCCCATGTATCAGCAGTTGTTGTGCTGCTGGGACAGTTGGGTATTGACAGGTTAATAATGGGATCTCTATTGACTGGCTCTCAGGCTGTGTCCTGCTGTGCACTTTCCTGGTGCTTATCTGCCTTTGGAACATGGTTTGCAGAGTGATAAAGGCTCAGCTTATTAAAGGCTAAACCCACGTTCTGGCAGCACTGAGGCTCTGGCTTTGAATTTCCTGGGTTTTGTTCGTTTGTGTAAAAAGGCCAAATTAATCTTTGGTGTAAACAAACTGACTTCAGTTGATTCACAGGGAGGAATGTGGCTTATTTATTTCAGAGAGAGCCCAGGCAGGGAGGGGGGATGTTGCACAGGAATAGGGAATAACACATCTCCTTTTCTTTGGCATCTTTGGCTTTCAAGGAAGAGAGAGAATCTTGGAGAAGGAATGGCAGAATCATGGAACAGTTTGGGTTGGAAGGAACCTTAAAGCCCATCCAGTTCCACCCCTGCCATGGGCAGGGACACCTTCCACTAGCCCAGGTTGCTCCAACCTGGCCTTGGACAATTCCAGGGCTGGGGCAGCCACAGCTTCTCTGGGCAACCTGTGCCAGGGCCCCCCCACCCTCCCAGGACGGAATTCCTGCCCAGAATCTCATCTAAACCTGCCCTCTGTCAGTTTAAAGGCATTGGAATGTTTTTTGTCTTGGCAGTGGTTTGTAGTGAGTGCAGTGGGACCTCTGCTCTCAGCTGTGAGAACTCAAATCAAACATTCAAATTTGGCAATTCCTATTTTATATCTGGCAGTATATATTTTACATTCTAAACTATGAATAGTTTATAGTATGGAACCACCCTTCAAGTTTTTTGAGGGTGCACTTTTAAGATGGCTCAGATCTAGAAACAGAGTGAACTTGTGCTTCTGGGGGTTGTACTGGTTTACTGTGTGATCTCAGGCAGCTTGTGTTACATTCCCAATCCTGTGGGATGTAGTAATTCATATGGATCTTAAAATTTAGGTCATGTGTTCTGTACTGGTGCATAGTTTGAGCAGTGTTTTAATGGGAGTGAGGGGAAGGAGAGGCTGGGGAGGGTGAGAGGGGAAGGAGGGCTCTATTGGATATCAGGTGCTGCAGAGACAAAATGAATCCATCATTCCTGATGTGTTTAGAGGACATTCATGTTCAGATGAGTGGATGGATTGGGAAGGGGACAGTGGTGTGTTTTGGGGATGGCCAGCTGGAAACAGGCACTAAAAATTCCTGCTTCCCTCTGTTCCTCCTTGTATGTGGAATTCATATTTTGTGATAAATAACTTCCAGAGCTGTATGTTCAGATTCTTGGACGTCAAATATTCCTCAGTATTTTATTTCTAAGGGCTGTTCATCCTAACAAGGAAAGTGCACATTTGGCTGGGGGGTGACATTAATTTTGCCCTGGTTTGCCTTGTCCCAGCCTCAGATAAGGTAAAGAAGCTGCCCCATCCCTGGGAGTGTCCAAGGCCAGGTTGGAGCAACCTGGGTTAGTGGAAGGTGTCCCTGCTCGTGGCAGGGAGTGGGATGAGATGATCCTTAAGGTCCCTTCCAACCCAAACCAGTCTGGATTTGATGATCAGTGACAGATTCCCCAGAGTGGAAATGCTGAAAACTAAGAATGATGTTCCCAGTAGTTCCCTGGAAACGTTATGAAAGCATCCAACTTAAACTTCTTTCGGTTGGGATTCCCAAGATCTGCTTTTCTGTATTTTTGAGGGGCTGGAAAAAAAGAATTGATGCTGTTTTAGGGAGTGAGGAAGTGTATCTTGTTCCTACCACACCTCATGCTCACTGCCAACTCTCAATGCCATCAGGCTCAGGATTTTTAGCTTTGAAAAAAATGTAATTTCTTTTTAAAATAGCCACACATCTTACATTGATTTACCTAATAACTGGATCTCCTTTGCAGAAAATGAGTGTAAAAATGACTGAAAGATTTCAGACCTTCCCCCCCCCCCGTAATTCTGCTGTTTAGTACAATGTTTTTATTTTCTTTTGTTTGCAAAACTGCCTGAATTACCTCCAATGGCTCATCTGCCATGGATGCCAATAAAATATTTATGGTTGATGGGCTTCTTGCATCTAAAATAAACACACAATATTTTTGTTCCCATTCTATAAAATTATATCCTATTAGATCTAATCGATAGAATGTTCCATTAAATATAATAAGGGCAAATTACTCCCCAGTTATTGTGTTCTGTTCTTTCAAAAAAAAAAAAAAAGGAAACATCATTTTCCAGCAGCACATCTGTGACGATCCAGCTGATTCAGGAGCTGATGTGGGCACATTCCTGTGTCTGAGCAGGGGGAGGGGGGAGTTGTAGCAATTCTCTGGTGGCACTGAGGGGTCTTTGCCTGCTTTGCCCTCCCATTCTCTGAACCCTCCAGTGAACAGAGTCTTAAACTGGGCTTAAATCACTGCCCAGTGTGGCTCTGGAGGGCTGAGGGACTGGGAGGTGCTGTCATGGCCAAGGGAATGATGAGGTTTTCTCCCTGAGATTTTTTCCCCCCCAAGTTTTTCCCTCATGAGTTTTTTCCCCCCCACCAAGTTTTTCTCCCTGAGTTTTTTCCCCCCAAGTTTTTCCCTCATGAGTTTTTCCCCTCCACCAAGTTTTTCTCCCTGAGTTTCCCCCTCATGAGTTTCCCCCCCCAAGTTTTTCCCTCATGAATTTTCCCCCCCCACCAAGTTTTTCTCCCTGAGTTTTTCCCCCCCACCAAGTTTTTCTCCCTGACTTTTTTTCCCCCCATGAGTTTTCCCCCCGAGTTTTTCCCTCATGAGTTTTCCCCCCCCACACCAAGTTTTTCTCCCCAGACTTTTTCACCCCGACTTATTCCCCCATGTTTTTTCTCCCTGATTTTTCCCCATGAGTTTTTCCTTTGAGTTTTCCTCCATGAATTTTCCCCTCTTGAGTTTTTCCCCCCTGAATTCCCCCCCCCCCTGAATTTTTCACCTCAGACTTTTTTCCCCCCAGACTTTTTCTCCCACAACTTATTTCTTGAAGTTATTTCCTCTGTGAGTTTTTCCCCCTGAATTTTCCCCTGAGTTTCCCCCCAGATTTTTCTGCCCCAAGTTTTTCCCCCCCAAGTTTTTTCCCCTTGAGTTTTCCCCACTAGTTTTTCCTCTGAGTTTTTCCTGTGAGTTTTTCCCCCCTGAATTTTTCCACCCTGAATTTTTCACCCCAGACTTTTTTCCCCTGGACTTTTTCTCCCACAACTTATTTTTCCAAGTTTTTTTCCCCCCGTGAGTCTTTTCCCCCTGAGTTTTCCCCCGAGTTTTCCCCCCAGTTTCCCCCCCAGGTTTTTCCCCCCCAAAGTTTTCCCCCCCCCAAGTTTTTTCCCCCTGACTTTCCCCCCACCTTAGTCCCTCTGTTTCCCCCCACTGTGAGTTTTCCCTGCAACTTTTTCCTCCCGGACTTTTCCCCCCTGACTTATTCCCACAACTTCCCCCCCCCCCCAAATTTCCCCCAGGATTTTGGCTTCCAAGTGCTTCTAGGGAGGTGTCTATAGACAATTCTGTCAGTGTGGAACCAACCTCTTGACACCAAACACCATTTTTGCCCGTGGCTCCCGTGCCCTGGACACATCCCGCAGACTTCCCACCATGCCAGTGATGCCTTAAGATTCTTCTAGTTTTTTGGTTTTTCTAATTTTTATAAGCTTTTTAAGTAATTAAAGAGTAAAAGTAGATTTTAGAAGCAGCAGCCCTTATTCCTTTACCCTTTAGCACAGTAGTTTACACATCCCTCAACCCCTACATACCCCATTCCATGCTCCCATATCAGTATCCCCTGAATTCCAGTAGAAAATGTTTAGTCTCTCTTTAACAGTAGGCCTGTTGTTTAAGAACACTTGTGCCTTGGCCTGAACCACAAAAGTACAGTCAAAAACCAGGTGACCGGGTACCCTTTGGGCTCTGAAGAAGATGAAGATGATGAAGAAAAGCCCCCAGCCCTAATTCTGAGGGGGTGGGATGGGGGAGGATCAGGGTGGGAGAACTTTGGATTGGACAAGCAATCATCATCATCATCATGGCCGGGCTTCTTGAGCGAAGATTTGGGAAGGGCTCTTCCCACGTTTGTTACAAACACACTGGTGGCTAAAAAGGCCAATACGAGACAGGCACATCTGGCTGCAAAAGGCACAGCAGAAAGACTCCTTAGGTGGGAAATTCTGCAGGACACGATTCTTTCTGTGTTGTCTTTTCTCCTCAAGGGTGACCCTGCTGCCTTCTCAAAGGCATCAGCAGCGTTAGAGATGGGGTGTCTCCAGACCTCCTGGTTGGAGGCCAGAGTAGACCAGTGATGATGATCAGTGTGGCCAAGGCTGAGATGTTGTTTCAGGGAGTCCTTGTATCTTCTCTTCGGGGCTCCTCTCTTGCAGCAGCCGGTGGCAAGTTCACCATAGAGCAGGATCTCAGGGAGGCAGTGGTTGGTCCATCCTGGAGACGTGCCCTGCCCAGCACAGCTGTGTTCTCAGCAACATGACCTCAATGCTTGTGACTGCTGCCTGTTCTAGGACAGATGGATTGGTCACATAACCTGACCAGTGGATGTTTAGGATTGTGCAGAGACAGCGTTGATGGAGCGCTCTGGGAGCCGCAGGTGGTGGCTGTAGATGACCCGTGATTCAGATCCATATAAGAGTAGACAGCACTGTGGCTCTGTATTATAAATTGTAACACCTGTACCTGGCCAGCGTGAGCATCTTGCAATCTTATGCCTGGGCACAAATTAAACCCTTTTCTTATCTCATCTCCAATTAAATTGCTTTGGAGTTTTTTTTCTTCGGCTCCAGCAGGCAACACCAGACACCGATGCCGTGGATCTATTGCCTGCCTGCATAACCCCAACCTCTTTTTTTTTTCCAGAAATGTGTCTACTGTCGGAAGAGGATGAAGAAGGTGTCGGGTGCCTGCATCCAGTGCTCCTACGAGCACTGCTCCACCTCCTTCCACGTCACGTGCGCGCACGCGGCCGGAGTGCCCATGGAGCCGGACGACTGGCCCTACGTGGTGTCCATCACCTGCTTCAAACACAAAGCAGCAAACCAGAATGTAAGGACCTGGCTTGGGCTTTTGGGGTTTTTGGGTTGTTTTGGGGGGTTTAGGTTGCAGAATCACAGAATCACAGAATGGGCTGAGCTGGAAGGGACCCACAAGGATCGTTGAGTCCAACTCCTGGTCCCGCACGGGACCATCGCCAAGAGTCACACCCTGTGCCCCCAGAGTGTCATCCCAACACTCCTGGAGCTCTGGCAGCCTTGGGGCTGTGCCCACTGCCCTGGGGAGCCTGGGCAGTGCCCAACCACCCTCTGGGGGAAGGACCTTTTCCTGAGACCCAACTTAACCCTGCCCTGACTCAACTCCAGGCCATTCCCTGGGTCCTGTCCCTGACTCCTCAGGGCCTGCCCCTCCTCTGCCCCTGCCCAGGAAGTTGTAACTGCAATGAGGTCTCCAAGATTGTTTTTGGATGGTGGTTCCATTTTGTTTTGTCAGGGATTTTTTTGGTAGGTTTTTGGGTTATTTTATTTTTTGTCAGTTTGTTTTGGGGTTTTTTGGGGTTTTTTTAGAATTGTTTCTCTGCACCTGTATTGGCTCAAGACTTATTACATTTTTCTGGCTAGTGCAGAAAGATTATCCAGAAAGGCAGTACTGGGAATGGCTTTAATCTCAAAGGTAGTAGGTTTAGATGGGATATTGGGAAGGAATTCCTCCCTGGGAGGGTGGGGAGGGGCTGGGATGGACTTCCCAGAGAAGCTGTGGCTGCTCCATCCCTGGAAGTGTCCAAGGCCGGGTTAGACAGGACTTGGAGCAACCTGGTCTAGTGGAAGGTGTCCCTGCCCATGGCAGGGGGTGGGACTGGATGGGCTTTAAGGTCCCTTCCAACCCAAACCCTTCCATGGTGATTGTGTGATCCGAGGGGCTGGAGGAACCCGCTGCCTCTCACTCCGTTACTGCTGAGGAACTGCTCTGCTGGAGAGGGACACAGTTATCCAGAGACAGCAAACCCCCATCAGATACAGCTTTCCTGAGATCTCCTCTTCTGATGTTGCTGAAGATTGGTGTCCCTGCCCGTGGCAGGGGGTTGGAACTCCACGAGCTTTAAGTTCCCTCTCGACCCAAACCGTTCCACGGTTCTGTGATATTTTTGACGCGGCTTTTCCAATTTGCGGGTTGCAGATGTTTCCCTTTTCCCTCTCCCACAGATCCCATTCCGAAGGGAGGTGGCCCTGGGGCAGACTGTGATCACAAAGAACAGGAATGGGCTCTACTACCGGTGCAGAGTGATCGGCACAACCACGCAGACCTTCTACGAGGTCAACTTTGACGACGGTTCCTACAGCGACAACGTTTACCCCGAAAGCATCATTGTAAGCAGCTCTGTGGAGGCTGGGACTTTATAGATGAGTGCCAAGTGTGATTTGTGCCTTCCTCTCGTGTGCTTTGGGCTGGAACAGCAAAGTAAATTTAAAAAAAAAAAATTAAAATTAAAAAAGTCGCTGCTCGCTTAGAAAATCTCATCCCGCTCTTCACTGCAGTTCTTGTTTCTGACATTATCTCATTTATTTTTTTTGGTTCCTTGACAAAGATGTGATTTTGCTGAATGCAGATGACTTCACAGAAAGTAGTGTTTGTTTTAAGCTTCGTCCTCTTTATTTTGTGGTTGAATAATCTTATTTTTCAACTGACAAGTGTGATTCATGGGGGAAGCAGATTGTCTGTGAGCTGCTTCTGCTTCAGAATAGGGAGTTCACTTAATAGAGGGAATGTCTAGAAGAGGCTTATTTGTCAACTCATGCATTCCCTTCCTGATTGTGCCACTGATTCACTGAGCTACCCTGCTTGGTTTTGAGATACAGCAGATCTGGTGTTTTGGGATTTGTAATGAGAAATGTCCCAGAACTGGGTGCTGTCATTCCCGGTCTCTCACGCTGGTTTTGTTCGAGATGCCCACAATTAATCCCAAGGGCAGAAACATCTTCCACCTAATTATAGTGCTGTGGAGCAGCTTCCTCGAGCAGTGATTTAAACACCTCTCTGGTTCCTGAGCTTTGATATCTCTCTGACCTGTTTCCCTCTGTCTTCAGAGCAGGGACTGCATCCAAATGGGACCCCCTCTGGAGGGGGAGCTGGTTCAGCTGCAGTGGACGGATGGGATCATCTATAAAGCCAAGTTTATTGCAGCCCAGATCAGTCAGATTTACCAGGTGAGTGTGGCAGAGGACCCCCATGGCCACGTGTCTGATGGTTCCTGGCACTGTGCAGCTCCCTGGTGTTGAACACTTGGTCAGGAAGGAGAATTTCCCTCCTGAAATTAATCCTGCTGGGAGGGTAAAGAGAAACAGGGTGTTGAACAGGGTCAGGGTGAAATGTTTTCTGTGGCAGAATGTGGATGTAGGGATAGACACACGTCTAGACTGGACCTGCTTTTAAAATGTAAACCAAATTTGCCTTTTTCCTTATAGATCAGGCCAAAAGTGCCCTACTTGAAGTGCTCTGATGGCTGGAGCTGAGCTCCTCATGTGTGGTTCCACATGAATCAGTGTCTACATAATTAGAATAACTTTCCTCAACACTTTAGGATCACTAATGTTGAAAAAGACTTTTAAGATCATCAAGTCCAACCATCAAAGCAGTACCAGCACTTTGAGGGGAGAGGGAGGAATATAAGGGGTCAGGAGAATGAGGAATAATCCTCTGCTTATGGGAAGGTGCTTTGTGGAGCAGCAGCAGCAGCAGCATTTGGAAATTCCTGCTGCTGTTGTGTGAGGAGTTGGAAACCTTCACTCCCACCTTCTCTGGTTTTAAGGTGAGTAAAACAGCACTGAGAGATTTTTTGGTCTCTGAGTTTGTTCCACATGCAGAATTTTGTTTAGGGGAGTTGTAATGGTCAGTAAAGGAAGCTTTAACCTGGTACATTGGGTCAGTGTTTCAGCACAGAAGGCTTTAAAAAATGCAGGGCATTCATTTGATCAAATAATTCTTAAATGGTACCAAAAGTTGAAAACTATACTTTGAAAAGTATACTTTGCAAAATACATGCTGGAAAAATATACTTTGAAGAACACATGCTGGAATTAGCGAATAATTGTGATTTTGAAGAGATTAATGCCTCTGGACAAAAGACAATGGAAGTCCTGTAGCTTGAATGTGTTTGAAACAGGATTCTGGTTTCTGTCCTTTCACAGAATCCCAGAATGGTTTGGGTTGGAAGGGACCTTAAAGCCCATCCAGTCCCACCCCCTGCCATGGGCAGGGACACCTTCCACCAGCCCAGGTTGCTCCAAGCCCTGTCCAACCTGGCCTTGGACACTTCCAGGGATCCAGGGACAGCCACAAATTCCCTGGGCAAGACTTTGCACAGAGTGTTTTGTGTCTGGAAGAGCCCAACAACCCCTGGGGGGCTCTCAGTGGCTGTAACTCCCTCAGAGATGTGATCTGAGGTGCCCCTGGTTATGAATAAGGACAATATAGAGCTCCATAAAGCTGTATGGTTTTCCTTGCTTTCCAGTTGAATCACAGCAAAGAAAATCCTCCTGGATTTCTCCTTTGGAATGGGCTGTTCCATGGATAGTGCCAGGTGACAGGAAAATATGCACGAGGAGCCTGTGGTTTTCCAATCCTGCAGTTACCTGTGAGCAGAGCTCTTCTCCATGGGGAGAACAGCTGGGACAGTTTCCCACACTGCTTCCCTCTGCACACACTGTGCAGCAGGATTCCATTTAAAACCACAAAACCAGTTTTGCTGTGAAAGAAGTGTGTTCCTGGGAAGACAGCAGGGATTAGCTTTGCATTTTAAACTTGGCTTATTTTGCAGTAGCTTCCCAGTTCCCATCTCCAGCCTGCTAAGATTAGATGTGTATATTTTTTAAAAATTGAGCCCAAATGACTGTCCTGGAACTTGGAACCTGTGGGTCCAACCCATGGGTTGCTCCACCAAGGGTCTTAACCCATAGCAGTGATTTGGAACTTAAATAATCAGGGTCCAACCACTCTGACAGGTAAAATGACCCTGTCCTCAGTTCCAAATCCTGCCTTTCTCCTACAAGTTGAGCTCATGACATGGAAGAGGCAGACAGGGATCTGCTGGTGCCTTGGCTCTTACACCTTCTAATTCCTGTTCCCTTCTGACTCTGTTCCATAGTGGGGCTCTGCAAAACCAGGGACTAAGTGGGATATAACATAGGGAATAATAAGTGGAAATAAATGGGAATAAATGAAGTAGCATCTTAAACCCTCCCCAGAAGGGCTCACCTTCCAAGGCCTGAGCTTCCTCCTGCACAATTATCCCAGCTCCTGGATGCTGCTCCATGATGGGAATGCTGGGCCTGGGTAAGGAATGAGCTGCTGGAGCTGGACAGAGCAGGAGGAGGATTTGGGAGCACAGATGCTTTATTCCCTCTGAATTTGTCCAGGCTGAACCTGACACCCCTATTAAACTCTGATCTGTGTCCTTCTGCTTTATCCAGAAAACTGAATTAAAGCCTCGAGCAAAGGAAATAAGAATCTCTTTAAAAACTTTTAATAGTTTTAACATTTTGCCGTGCACGTTCCCATGAATAAACGTTCCTGGAACATCTGATGCATAATTCATGATATAATCAGTGCTTAGCAAAAAGGGTTGATGGGGAGGAGTTTTTTGTACCTGGCTGACTGTTTCTGCTGGTTGAAATACAAATGTGCTTTAGTAGCTGGAATTGTTTCCTTGTGACCTGTGAAAATGCTTTGTTTAAGATGAAAGAAGTTCTTATTACCATATTGGCCTGAATACAGGGCTGCTTTTATTAGGAGTGAAAAGCTGCTGGGTTTTTTTTTTTGAGGATTTGAATAAAAAATCAGGAGGAATATGTAATGGGAGGGGGGAACAGAGGTGCTGGGCCAGCTGGGGGTGCAGATATTTTGGGATCCATGGGAGCCCTTGGGCTGGATAAGACAGAGGTGCCTGAACAGCACTGAAAACAGCACTTTCTGGGTTCAGCATCCTTGGCAGAGCTTAGGAATGCTCACTCCAGAGCAGTCCTGCAGTGCTAAGGACGAGATCATCCATGGGATCTGGCCCCTGATGCTTCCTTGGTGTTCCCTGGAGGGACAGGCTGGGAATGGACCATTCAAGGGCTAGTTGTGATTTCATCTTCTGCCTCTCTGCAGGTCGAGTTTGAAGATGGTTCTCAGCTAATGGTGAAGCGTGGAGATATTTATACCTTGGAGGAAGAGCTTCCCAAGAGAGTGAAGTCTCGCCTGGTGGGTACCAAAATAGCAACACTAAACCAGCTGTACTTGCACAACTCCCTTCACATCATCTTCTGGTGCTTTTTAGACATTAAGTGAATGCAGCCTCCAGTTTCTGTGGCTGTAAAACCACTTGTCATTCCCCCAGATGCATAAAGTAGAAGGAATCCTTGCTGGGAATGCTTGAGAAGCACAGAAACGATTTTCCCTTGCACGTGTTGGGATCGGATTTTTATTTCCTCTGGTTAAAAGATTATGTTCAGATCATTTTACACCAGATGAGTTTAGTTATATTGGAGTCATTTTGTCCAAATGAGAGGTGGATTTGGCTACAGCTCAGTTCTTTCTGGAGGACTGATTATCAACCTGGGACCAAACCCCCTTTTCTCACCGAATGGGAGATTTAGAACGTAGCTCTTACCTATAAATCTCTTAATCTACAAGATCAGGCTGTCTTTGAGTGCATACAGTGGAATTACTGGGCCTAGAAGAGATGAGGGATTTATTTCATAGCTTTTTTTGGTTCCAGACTTGCTGGGTGTTTTCAAACCCGGTGCTTTAACCTTTAAAGCCATTTCATTAAAACAAATGATGAGACTGGAGGATGTACAGTTTTCTCCTTCGTGCCTGGCAGGCACTGCAGGACAGGGACAGGTCCAGAGCCAACCTGTGACAAGGTTCTGGGCTCCTTTTTGTCTCTTTTAAGAGACAAAAGGAGGATGATTCAACCTCCTCTTAAGAATAACAGTCAGCCCAGTTAAACCAGTCAGAAACAGCCCAGGGACAGGCAGTTCTGGGGAGGGACCGAGCACAAGTTAGAGGAAATTTTTGTTCCCTTTTCCATGAAATCTTCAGGGGTTTTAGCCTAAAAATCCCACGTGTAAAATGCTTTCTGTGATACAGCCCCAATGGCTTCTCCCTCTCGTTTGAGGTTGTTTGTCTCTGTGAGACCTCGTGGCCTAAATTTTAGAGGTTAATAATAATTTACCTCGTTACCCTTGAAGGATTTCTGGTGGCAAAGAAGCACCACAGCAGTAATTTCTGAGGCATGCACAATATTCCAGTCTATTTAAGCTTGTTTAATAATAAAGACAACATATTGGAGCCCTGAAATCCAGGATTTTGGAAAGAAGCACATTCTGTGCAGTGGAGACTTTATAACAGTTCCAGAGGAAGGAATGCAAGCTGGAAAGGGAATAAAGGGAATAGAAAGCTTCAAGTCTGGTTGAAAGCTAAAGCTTTTCTCCTGTATTTCTGCTGCCAGAGCTTCAGCCTGTTTGTTCTCTGTGGAGGGGATGCTGTAGAGCAGGAGGACAAAGGGACAAAGCTATGGGAGATAATTTCTACCAAGGAATCCCAGAATCCCAGAAAGGAAAAGGTTGGAAGGGACCACAGTGGTGCCACCTGGTCCCACCTGATCTCATTTGAGTGGAAGCAAATGAAATGCACCTCAGTGGAGTGTGAGAGCAGGAAGAGCAGAAGGAATTGTTTGTGCAGTGATCCCCAAATGCTTCCTGTGGGTCTTTTTTTTAAAAGGCAATTAGGGAAGCCCCAATTTCTTTTGTGTCTGCTACTGGGAGAAGAGGCAGAGGAGGAACAGGCATAAAGAGAGGATTGGCAAGGAAGTGAAAAGATATTCTGAAGCAGAAAAAAAAAGGCAGCTTGAGGGTTTCTCCTTCCAGTTTGGTTCCAGAATTTCGAATCCCAGCCGGGTGCTTTGCATGCTTTGAAGTTCATGTTCTCCAGGAATGCCCTGAACCAGGTTGTTCCCTGCTGGCCTGTTCCACAGGTGTGCTCCATGATTCCCTCCCTGTTTTCCTGCCGTGCCTCTAATGGTTGTGTTTCGTGTCCCCTGCAGTCCCTCAGCACTGGGGCCCCTCAGGAAGATGTATTTTCGGGAGACGAAGTGAGACCGGCCAAGCGTCCCCGGCTGGGGAATTCCCGAAATCCTGAAGAATATGGACAGAACCCAGATTACTTGGCCTTTATGGAGAGCCTGTTGCAGACACAGTACCAGCCTGGGACTCAGAGCAACATGTTTTAACCAGGATTAATTAAAAAAAAAAAAAAAAATCTTAAATTAACCCTTTTTTGAGATCGTGGAAAAAAAAAAAAAATAAATGGGAAACTGTGGAATGGAAGACCAGCCCTGTGCAATAGTTTGCTGTGAATTTCTTTCATCTCCTCTTGGTTTGGACTGCAGGAAAACCCTGTCTGGCTCCACGCTACCTCGACCTTGCCAGGTGTTGCTGACCAAGAGAGTGGGGAGCTTGGAAAAAAAAAAACAAACCTTCAGACAGCATTTCCCACGGAGACTTTGGAAGAGTTTCTACAGATGGAGTTTTGTGACTGGTTCTTTTTTTTTTTTTTTTTTTTTTAATGAGGCTTGGAAAGGGTTAAAATTTCACACACACACACACACACAAAAAAAAAAGACTTTTTCAAACCTGTCAAACTTTTGTCTTTCAAGGTGCTATTACATTGACTACTGAAGCAGCCTTTGGAATCGTGTTTTCTGTACATAGACGTCACCTTTGTGAAGTTTTCTATGAATGAGCATTATTAAAAAAAAAAAAAAAAAAAAAAAAAAAAAAAAAAAAAAAAGAAAAACCGTGAGCAAAAACAGGAAAACAAAAAGTTTCCACAAAGCATTTTTCTAGATGATGGCTTTAAAAAAACAGAAAAGAAATGAAATCCTCTCTACTCCCCCCTCCTCCTCCTCCCCTCCAAATGAATCGTGACTGATGTTACACTGGGGAGAGGGAGCTCGAGAACAGATGTCCTGGAACGTTCTGGGTTCTTTTTTTTTGTTTTCTTTTTGTAAAGAAACACTATCTTCTTTGTAAGCTGGGGAAGATGGGGAAAGAAATGTTTCACAGCTGGGATGTTTCTTACCTTGAGCACTCTCAAAGCCCTGGCACAGACGTGGCCATCGCTGCCAGGAGGGCACTTAGGGCAGAAATGGCCGGGTTTGGGTCGCTCTTGTCACCTTCCTTCCCCCATCTTTGCCATCACAGTTGCTTTCTAGATGGAGATCAGCATGGCTTTCAGTTCCAAGATGCCACTCTGTTTTTGGCAAGTGTTCTGTTGCTGCTTGTGTTAGTTCCTTCCGAGCCATCCCCTTCCTGCTGCAGCCGAGAGCTCCGAGGGCTGCTCCGGCCCTCTGGTAGGCACTTCTCCCTTAGGAACCTTCTCCTTTTCTTTGTCTCCTTATTTTTATTTTTTAATTATTATTATTATTATTGTTTTTTGGGTTTTTTTTTTGAGTTGTGCTCCTTACAGTGTGAGAATCATTCCGTGACAGAAGCCTGGGAGGCGTTTGTATGTTTTTTCTTTGATCCTATTAAAGAAGAAATTCCCCAACCGCCTTTGATTGTCGTGACATCCTTTCCTTAAGTAAAGACTGAGCCTTTTGAGTTACTCCCAGGGAAGAGGAATGCGAGCCCTGCATTCGACTGGACTCAATTCCCTGAGGATTGAAGGAGCATTAAAGGCAAAACCAAACCCTAAAGTATTGAGTGGGCAGCTCCCACCTGGACGCTTGGGAATCACCTCCGGTCGAAGAGCTGTCGTGGAGCAGCGTTTTGGGAAAGAGCCTGATCCAAACTGAAGTCACTGGAAAGTCTTCCACGTTCTTTGGAGGACCTCAATCAAGTCAGAGGGAGAGAACAAGGCAGTGCTAGGACAGAGCTGGAGAGGGGTGGGGTGGAGGTGGGCGAGGGCAGCCGGACCCTCCCCTCCTGCCCCGGAACGCTGCACTGCAATCTTTTCCACTTAATTCCCTGAAATTACTGGATGGAGAGAGAGAGAGAGACAATATTCTTGGGGTTTCATTATTATTTTTTTAAGCCCCTTTGCAAGGTGGCCGTTGTTCTGGGGAGAGAGGCTTTTTAAGCAACGCTCTGGCTGGATCTTGAAGGGAATAAGTGGGAAGGATTTGTGGGCTGGCAGATGGTAGATTAGCATCTTAAGAGACTCCGTGGGTATTAAACTGTCCTAGTGAAAGAGTGGAGATAGAATAAAGCAATTTCATTTTTTTTTTCTCTTTTTCTGTTTTTCGTTTTTTTTTTTTTTTTTTTTTTTTTTTTTTTTTTTTTTTTTTTTTTTTAAACTTTGGTTTTGTTCTCCCCTGAGAATTGGAGTTCCCCGCCCTCCCTTCCTGCCTCTGCTACGGGTTATTTTCTGTGTTGCGTGGCTGCGCGTGCGTGTTCGTAAGACCTTGGAAAAACAGGGTTGTGTTTTGGTTTTTTTGGGGGGGGGGGGGTTTTGTTTGTTTGTTTTGTTTTTTTTTTTAATTTCTGAATTTTTGACGTTTTCAGTAGATGTCTCCACCAATAAAACCAAACTGAGACTAATAAAAGTTTCAAAAAATTGGCAAGGTTCTTCCAAGCCTCGGTTGTTCCTCCTCCAGAGCTGTCTCCTGTCGGTTAAAATATGATTTAATAGAAAACTTGCTTGTATAAAAGACTAAAGAATGTTGCCAGGCTACGAGAGAAATATTTAAAACAATTGAAAGAGAAATTTAACCAGCAGAGGATTTTTTTTTTTTGGAGGTGGGAGGGGAAGGGTGGGATGGGATGAGTGGTTGTTGGGGAATTTCCTCTGCATGTTGAAATCCTGACTGCAATAGCACCATTCCTGTATCCATGAGTACTACCTTTTTAAAATACTATTTATACTGTAAAAACAAAAATGTGTTTCCTCCCCCCCCCATATTCAGATGCTGAGTTATGTTGAAACATGACCCTGGAACTGTCAAATGCCTTTCCTGGGTACAAGGGGTTTTCCCTCTTCTTTTTTTTTTTTTTTTTGTTGATTTTTAAATCCCTCTTTTTGGATTAGGAATGACTTGTGCAGATTTGGGGTAATGACCATATTGATGCCCCTTGGGCATCAGACTCTTGAAAAGGAAATAGGAAATGCACATTCCTACCCCTTCCTCCAGTGAAATATATTTGTAAGTGTCTGATTATGTGCTATAAAAATAATGATTTTTTTTTTTCTTTCTCCCCCTAGATTAAGGCTGTGATGTATTTTTTGCCTATTTTTTTCTTTGCCTCTAGGTTCAAAATGAATTAAAGGCTGTTGAGCATTTCAGAATAACACTTTTTGGGGGGTTGAAGTCTCTTCATTTCTAACTTTAAAAAGTCTCTTGTACAGCAGGAGGAGGTGGCTGATAAAACTGAGCCAAGAGAAGCTGAGACTGAGGAAGAAGAAGGTCTTTTCCTTCCTCTCTGGGGTCTGTGCAGGAGCAGAGGTCTGTCAGTGCACCCCTTCCCAACATTAAGAAAAGTGCTTGCAATGCACTTTTGTCCAAGGCCCAGGATTTGCTCCACCTGGCTCATTGAGAACTGTGCCTGCTAAAGAGCCAGAGGTGGTTCCAAAATCCTTCATCCTTAAATCACCAGTTTGCAACTTCCCTTTTTGGGATCTGCTTCCTACCCTTTCCAAGCCTTTGGAGGATGTTGAACCTCCTAAACCAGCATCTTCCCCAACCTTCATTTGAACATCTTCATTTCCCATCCTGAGCCCTGATACTTTTTGACAAATTCCTCTCCAGCTATTGCAGGATGAGGCTGATGTTGCAGGTTATGTGAGATAAATCTCCAGCTTCCAGTCTTTTGCAGATTAGTAGTTTTCCTTGAGATGATCTGAGGAATGGTCCTGGTGGGAAGAAGCTGCTGATGGGAACTCCGTTGGAATTCACACCCACACAAAGCTTACCTTGGGGTTTAAGGTCTGCTCCATTGCTGTACTGAGAACTGATATCATTTTAAAGGTGTCTTAAGAAGCAGCACAAGCTTCCCAGGAACTGCCTGGCTCCGGGATCAAAAGGCAGGAATCACCCTGGCAGGGTGGAAGAGGCGTTTCCACCCAACCCCCGGAGTCACCGTGGCTTTGTGTCCAGCTGAGATTGCTGTGCTGAAATCTGGATGAGGTGGGGTTAGAGGAGATCCTGCTGGGCCCAGGGAGTCCTCAGGGAGATGATGGGAATGCTGTGAGTGCTGGAATGTTCAGCTTGGTTTCCTGTGCTTCCCTCTGGCTGAGCGCTGGTCGGGGCTGGATGGGGGAGTGTGGATGTGCCCAGGGGGCCAAGAAGGCCAATGGATCCTGGCCTGGCTCAGGAACAGGGTGGCCAAGAGGGCCAAGGAAGTGATTCTTGCCCTGGACTCAGCACTGGTGAGGCCACCCCTGGAGTGCTGTGTCCAGTTCTGGGCCCTCAGCTCAGGAAGGACATTGAGGTCCTGGAGCAGGTCCAGAGGAGAGCAACGAGGCTGGGGAAGGGACTGGAGCACAAGTGCTGTGAGGAGAGGCTGAGGGAGCTGGGGCTGTTCAGCCTGGAGAAGAGGAGGCTCAGGGGAGACCTCCTCACTCTCTGCAACTCCCTGACAGGAGGGGGGAGCCGGGGGGGGTTGGTCTCTTTTCCCAGGCAACCATCAGCAAGACAAGAGGGCTGGGTCTGAAGCTGTGCCAGGGGAGGTTCAGGTTGGATATCAGGGAGAATTTCTTTGCAGAGAGGATGCTCAGCCATTGGAATGGGCTGCCCAGGGAAGGGGTGGATTCTCCATCCCTGGAGGTTTTTAAGCTGAGACTGGATGTGGCACCAGTGCCATGGGCTGGGAACCACAGCGGGGTTGGATCAAGGGTTGGACTTGAATCTCAGAGGTCCCTTCCAACCCAGCTGATTCTGTGATTCTGTGACTCATTCCCCTCCTTCTCCAACCTCTCTTATCCCTGGAGAAGGTTATTTGTGGATCTCTCTCAACCTGCACAGCTGAGCTGCTTCTCCTACTAAAGCACGTTTTGGTTTCTTCCTTTGGCTTTTCCATGCTCTCTGTGCCATCTCCACCCACTGGAGATCCTGCAGCCCTGGACAGGTGTCCATGACTGGTCCCACTGCCTGGTGCCTGTGCCCCTGCTCTGCAGGGCGCTGTGCTCAGCACCAGTGCCCAACCTGGGTGCCCAGGTAGGGAGGAGGCAGCTGCCCGTGGTGCTTTCCCCGGCTCCGAGGGCTGCGCTTTCCCTGGGGAGCACCAGGGCCCTGGCACACGAGCAGATGTTCTGAAACCTGTGGAACAGAAGCTGATGAAACTCCCTGGGTCACTGTCACCAACTGTCACACACTCCATAAAATCATTAGTGCTAATTGCTGGCAGCAGTGGGAAGATGGGGATCAACAGCTTGTTCCTCCTCCGAGGGCAGCGGAGACTTTCGCCGTGTGCCTGGAGAGTGGGACAGGGGATGGAGGTTCATTGACTAAAGATCCTTAGCTTGGCAAGGAAAAATGGAAGAGACAATTCCTTTTTTTAATTTGTGAAGGGCAGGATCATACAGAAAACTAAACCCAGCAGTGTTGGTTGGGTGAGGCTGTTCAGTGGTGGGGCTGAGTGGACAACCCCAGCTTCCCTGAAGCCCCGAGGTGTCCACCCCTTTGTCCTCTGCTGGGTCCTGCTTCTCTCACTTTGGTCCCGTGGAACCAACAGTTTGGTTCCCATCTTGGTTTCCTATGGAAGCAACTCCTCTTGCCAATGCATTTGTGTAAATCTCCGGGGTGCAGACCCGTGTCCGCAC